TCGGTGGAGCTAGAAATAAACTCAACTCTGATTCACATCCACCAGGTCCAGACCAGCAGCAGGAGCCAAAGGGACAGCTGTGGGCTTTAGACCACGGTCACGTGACCGACCGTGACTCCGTCGTGGCAGCGACACATGGAGGTCACAGCATCTCTGCTAATCCTTCAGCTCTGCTAACACCAGGCTTTTAAAGTGACAGTACTGAATTCAACCTAACAGACGTGGATAAAGCCATGCCTCTCGTCACCGTCACTGCCTTGACCACAGGGGCAGTTCATCAAGTCCCCCCCAAACCTCTCACACAGAAGTCCATGAAGAAAATCAGTGAGTTTAGCTGGCAGACACAGAGGATCTGCTGGTCCACTGCTGCCTCCTGTGGGCACTCTGTGTCACTGAGGTCAATCTGAACAAATGATTTCCAACAGTGAAGTCATAGAGGAACTCATTTGAATTTCATTTGATCAGCTGCTAGCCTAAAATCATTGGTTTGAGGTTTGGTGAGGGGGCGGGAGAGAAAGTGTTAGGGTTTTCATGCGTGTGTGCGCATGTGTGTAGACTGATGAATGAATCTGTGGCGTTTTCACTTATCCCCTGTGTGTTCTCCCTCTGTGGGGATTACACAGGTTTAGACCACTGCACACATTCATTCATTGTAGACACGACCCCCTGGTGGCTGTGGCTCACATCTGTGATGGAGCCACAGACTCTCTGTGCACAAACACGTGTTTGAAGGAGCCCTGGTTTTACTGTGAGGCAGTACGTGTGTGTGCTGTTTCTTCTGTGTCATCAGTGCTTATGTAAGACAGCACTGATAAAAGCACCCAGTACTGATGCCAGAAGGACAGGAACTGTGCTCCACTCCTGTCCTCTCCTTCCCTTCCCTCTGTGTGTATGTGTATCAGCCTCAGGTTCTACTGTCAGATGATGTAACAATGGTTCTGGTTTTCTGTTAAACAGTTCTATGAGAGAGGCGGGTTGAGTTCATAGTTACACCCCTGGTCACTTGTCCCTCAGTGTTTTTGAAATGACTCCACACCTTCACTCCATCTCACTAGTTTTCTTTCAACTTCCTTGTCCTCATCAGTATTTTACAGCATTAAAATCCTGTCATGGGAACAGTACCGATCATATTCTCTGCTCGGTTCTACTCCTGAAAGAGAAAACCAAAAAGTTCTAGGATTTTCTCCTAGCCTTTATTTCAAATAAAAAACACTTTCCATCAGAAACAAATGTACAAATGGTTCAACAAGACAAACGTGATCTAAAGGAACTCAGAGGAGCAGTAGGAACCGGTTCTAGATGGGTTTGATCTTGAAGTGTAGGCCAATGAGACTGAAGACCAGACACTTCAGGTCCTGGACCAGGTAATAAAAGACCCGAAGACCTTCAGGATCCCTGCAACACAGAGTGACAGCTTTAAGTGACGGAACTGTTCTAGAACAATTTGAACTCAGCGTGTTTCTGACTCACTTTGACTGATTTACATCAATCAAGGAACCGATTTTAGAAGTTGTGAATGAAATGTGCTCATCACCGATGACGATCTCCAATTCCTGCAGACAAAAACATTTCTCTGAAGACTGCAGTTCATTCTCCGAGACCTTTGTACAATGGAGAAAAAAAACCCCAAACCAGAACCAACCTGCCGTCCCACTCTGTCAGGAGGCGGCCAAAGAGCATCGTCTTCTTTTGTGATCTCACTGTCGTCGATGATTCTCTTCAGCTCCTCCATCACACTCTTATGAACGTACGCCTGGACTCAGAAAAAAAACAAAACAGTTTAAGTGTCTCGGTGATCTGAACAGAGACAAACAAGAAATACTAACAGAACACAAAAACAGACAGATAATCAAATCCTAACTTCATTATAACTGAGTGGATTCTTTAGTAGTTCGATGAGCGGTCAGTCCGTCTCCAGTTCGATGTGTTTTTACCTCTTTTCTGATCATCACGTCATTCTTGTAGTTGCTGTTGTTCGCGTACCGGAGTTTCCCTGCAGGAGACAAATAGAAAACAAGGATAAAACACAGTTGGGACCTGGAGGTCTCCAGAAATCTAGTCCGGAGTAAGGGTTCTAATCAGACTACACTTCTTACAATGTGAACGAGGGAGAGTTCTATGGTTTTCAGACAAACCAGGATAGCTCGAGTGGCTTCAGCTCAATTTGACTAGGATTTAATCACAGAATTTATAAAACAGTGAAGCTCCAAACAAGAAACACGCGTTTACCTGCCCTAGTGGCAGCATGGTGCCAATACAGACTCCTCAAAAAAATCGCTTTAGTCTATTTTGAAACGCAAATACTTAATGTGTCGAAACTGCATCCTGTGTGAACATGTGTTTGGTTTATTAATAATCAAGAATAAGGTCGTTTGTTAAATCCATGTGTTTGTAAATGAAACAGTGGGGCCCGCACACGATCCTTAGACCCCGTTAGCATTTAGCCGTTAAAAGCAGGGTTAACACTGTCGTCTGTAAAAGCCGCCAAATTTAACTCACCGTCAGGTCTAAATTCAAACTCCAAAAACTCGTGTCCAAACTTTCCTTTGTGTCCGACATAATATCTGAGGTAAAAGTCGCTCGTAGACATTATTGTATGTCAAATACTCCTTGTTGAAACCGCCAAACAAAAGGTGCCTGAAGTTTAGGCTAAAGCTAAAACGGCAGGTCAGTGAACATAGCCTGAGCATGCGCAGAGACAGGAAATAAGAAGTGGAATATTAGTACCCAATTCCATGTCTGAGAAGGCGTTAGATAGGGCTATTTTTGAAGTAGCGGATTCACCAAATATAAAACGAAATATTGCATATTTAATGGTAACTATTTAAAACAAAAAACTTAAGAAAATAAAGGAATATATTTCTGTGGTGTGGCTGTTTATATATGTATAATTTAATGTATGTATAATTTACATTAGAAGGCAGCTACACCTCTGTACCTAGACCATAAACCCTTCATTATTTCATAATTCAATTAATGTTGTATTTAGTTTATTCACAGTCGTAGACTGAGCTGAGCGGTCCGAACCGCTTAAGTCTTCTGCCTGACAAAATAATCTCGGGAAAACAAATCTTCAGAGTCCTGTCGCACATACTAACGTCATCATACTGCGCCTCAGCGGTGGCAGAACACTACTCGTATGATTGGTAACTTGCACGTGTGCGCTGCGCTAAAAAATAAAAGACATGAGTTCGTTTTCCGAGCAGCTCCAGGATCTGTTAAATCCTCAGCCAAAGTTTGCTGATCCTGAAGACGATGATGAAGACGAAGTCACCAAAGCCAAGGTGGTGGACAGGTTCGGGGATGATGACGATGAAGGTGCTGGGATCAGTATCCTGAGGAAGGGCAACACGACCCTGTTGTCCGACACCGACCAGAGATACGCAGGGAAACCTGTGAGCAGAAAACAGCTGCTGATGGAGGAGGAAGGGGATGACGAGAGCATGGAAGAACAGGCTGAAGATGTAGAAGAAGAAGAGGACTATGGTTCAGATGTTGAGGAAGATTCTTCTGGAGAGGAGGAACCTAAGGGTTCTGACATAGTGTCTCCTCCTGGTGTGAATTTCTGCCAAATGACTGAAGGCATGGAAGGTCTGGGAATGAGTGAAGAAGAGGACGACGTTAGTGGTTTGGAGACAGAAGACAATGAGGAGGACCAGGAAAAGGAAGAAGCCTCTGATGAAGAATTAGAAGATGCCCCAGTTCAAACCTTTTCCAAAGACAAAGTGGAAGAGGAGGTGGAGAAAGGAAAAGCTGTGAAGAACCAGCTGGCGCTGTGGGACCAGCTGTTGGAGGGACGAATCAAAATCCAGAAAGCTCTGGTGACAGCCAATCAGCTTCCACAGCCGAACACTTTACCCGAGGTCAAGAGAAGGGGTGGACCTGAGGTGGCAGGTGCACTGAAAAACGCCCACAAGGCCCTGAAGGCTCTGCAGCGCTCCCTGCTAGAGCTGCATGATGAACTTTTATGCCAAAACACAGACACCAGAGCAGTTGCCCTGGGGGACATGAAGGATGTTGACGATGATGAGATCGAGAGTGATGAAGATGAAGGGCCAAAAGAAACTGGACCACCAAAAAGAAAACTAGAAATGTCAGAATATCCTGACTTTATGACCAAACGTTTTGCAGCCTTTCAGCCGTACCAGAACACCACGCTGCAGAAGTGGCATGACAAAACCCGGCTCACCACAGGGAAGAGCAACAAGGGGTTTGGAGCATTTGACCGAAACATTCTGACTCAGGTGGAGCATGTGTTGGCAGACAAGGATAGGCTTTTGAGAAGAACCCAGACCCGCCGATCAGAATACAGGGTTCTCGGGAAAAAAGAGACCTCCGAAGCCAGCTCCCAGAATGCTCCCCCTGCTGGTGTGGAGGAGGGAGCAGAGCAACAGCTGAAGGCTAACCTGCATCTCAAAGATCTGGATGAGGACATATTTGATGATGATGACTTTTACCATCAGCTGCTCAGGGAGCTTATTGAGCGTAAGACCAGCACAGTGGACCCCAATGACCAGGTGGCCATGGGCCGGCAGTGGCTGGCCATCCAGAAGTTGCGCAGCAAGATCAAAAAGAAGGTGGACACAAAGGCCAGCAAGGGTCGCAAAGTGCGCTTCCACGTCCACAGCAAGCTGGTGAACTTCATGGCCCCGATCAACCACAGCTCCATGAGCGACGAGGCACGCAACGAACTGTACCGTGGTCTCTTTGGTCGCAACGTAGAGGCCAGAGAGTGACATGAGTCTGGTCAGGGGACAAATGAAGAACTGAAGAACTGAGACTTAATCCACTGGTTCCAAAGCCACAGGTTATATGGGAAATACACATTTAAACTCTGGTGCCTAAAACACCAACCTAATACAATCAATATTGTGATTAAAAAAACTGTTTCAGACTAACAAGTACATATAAAATACAACATACACAATGTTTACACTTTAAAACATACATTTTTATTCATCAACTTTCAACCTTTTGCAATATTTCTTAAGTGAATTTTATGTTGGGCCTGAATTACGAACATGTTTGCTGGTCATTTAAATAACCGGTGAACTGAACCACTTGAGAAATAGTCATTCATAAGAAGAGTGTCTTTAGGGTAGCCGTCATGTCATTAAGTAAAATATATGAGAAAATGTCTACGTTTGTGTGATGTGTTCAGAGTGAAAACTTTGTGTGATTTTTTAAAAAAAGTTGTAATTTTATTTTTCATCTATGAACAATAAAAATCTGAAGAGGCTATTGAAAAAAGTGTTTAAGTTTTGTCTTTCTGAGTGATAAAATATATATTTTTAAATATATTTGATTTTGTTTGTCATTCTATTAATTATTAAAATGTTATGTACAGAATAAGTAAAATTCGTATAACTACTTTAGAGAAGTTATATTTTTAATTATGTGAGGAGTTAAAAAATAATGAAATATAAATGCCAAATATTAATTATTTTTCAAAGCACTTATGAAAAATAAAACTGTGTGAATGGACACCAGTGAAAATCGAACTTTCTTAGTCATATCATTTAAAATATAAGACATTCGTACGATTAGTTAGATAATATAATTTAAAAAAGAAAATCAATAAAATAATACAAATTAGGTTTATGCTGAGCCGATGAACCGGAAGCACTCTTGCTTATTTCCGTTGGGGAGTGCTGACTGAGCTCTGCCGTCAGAGGAGATTTAATGAGCTCAAAAGATCATTGAATTACATTAATATTTTATATATATTTTTATTTTTTCTTCTGTGTATATTTCCTGGTCATCAGCAGCAGCTTCACCATGAGCACCATGTTCCCAGACACTTTGCTCATCGTCTTCATCTCTGTCTGTACCGCACTGTTAGCCGAAGGTGAGTCTCACTGAAGTCACACCGACTCGCCGCTGCTCACGAACGTTGCTTAAAGAAAAACTGAATAAACCCAAAACTTAATTCTCCTTTATTGATACATCAACACGTACCCACTGTGAAATAAATACTTACACGGTCGTGTTATTCTTCAGACCTCGACGGCTGGTGAGAAAGCGACGTTAGCCACTTTAGCCGAGCTGAGTTGACACCTGACGTCAGTTAAATCTCTACATTTTACCAAGAAGTTGTTTTAAAAAATTCATAATAATGTTTGAAATACATTTTCTCTAAGCCTTCGTGTCAGTGTCAGGGTTTGAGTCACCACAAATTAGAAACATTTCGTTCAGAGATAAGTGACTTTTTACCAGATATATGTAAAAAAAAACAAAAAAACACGTTTTTTAAAAGGCTACCAATTAAAAAAACATTGTTTTTACATTTTTCCTCAAACTAAATATTGCTGGAAATGCGGAAGTGTCAGCTCATTATTGACTGTCTTCTGTGGTGAAACTGTTCTTTTAACATTTTTTATCTTTTTTGTTCTATTAGGAATCACCTGGGTTTTAGTTTATCGCACTGAAAAGTACAAGAGGCTAAAGGCTGAAGTAGAAAAACAGAGCAAAAAATGTGAGTTTCAACACAACAATTCTGACCTTTGACCTTGTATTCTATTAGTATTTCTGTGGCATTATTTTTGTTCAATTTATGAACGTAGAAGTATTTAATGTTAATTCTATTTCATGTTAGTGGAGAAGAAGAAAGAAACCATCACAGAATCGGCAGGACGTCAACAGAAGAAGAAGATTGGTAAGACCCAGAGAAATAATGCCTTCACAGGACATCATGTTTGACACAGTCTGTGGTGTGGGTGGAGTCTAGTTCCTGGACTCCACTCTTCTTACTTTTTCACAGTTTGAAAATATTGTGTTTGTGTGTGCCGTAGAAAGACAAGAAGAAAAACTGAAGAACAACAACAGAGACTTGTCCATGGTGACGTCCTGTCTACGTCTTATTTTACTACAGTCACATTTTAGTTTCCAGACTGAGAAGACATTTTACTGCGGAGGTCGGAGTTTTTGTCTGATTGAATTTTGTTCATGATTCGTTTGTATTCAGGTTCGCATGAAGTCCATGTTTGCCATCGGCTTCTGCTTCACAGCCCTGATGGGCATGTTTAACTCCATGTGAGGATCTTCACTGATTAACAGGATCGTGGGTTGAACTACATTATGATTCTTACAGAATGAACCTAATTCTGTTTCCTGTTCCTCCTGCTCAGCTTTGACGGCAGAGTCGTGGCCAAACTGCCGTTCGTGCCGCTGTCTTACATCCAGGGACTTTCTCACCGTAACCTCCTGGGTGAAGATTACACCGACTGCTCTTTCATCTTCCTCTACATCCTCTGCACCATGTCCATCAGACAGGTATCAGAGTTTAAGTCAATGAAAATGTGCCAAAGTTTAGCTGAGGTAATTTAATAAATTCCTGAAAGCTAAGTTAGCTAAGAGCTGTCCTGAAGGTTGTTCTAAACAGCTGAAACCCACCAGTCATTATTTGAACTAAAATAAGTCAAAGTGGCTCTGGATAAGATGGATTTTTTTCAAATGTTATGTTGATGCTCAAACACTTGTTCTGTTCTATAAACTGTCGCATAATGTTCTTCTCCAGAACATTCAGAAAATGCTGGGCTTGGCTCCATCCAGAGCGGCCACCAAACAGGCCGGTGGTTTCCTGGGACCACCTCCTCAAGCTGCCAAGTTCTCCTGATCTGTAGTTCCGGAGCTGTCACGCTTCCCCCATGAGTGCGCTGAGAGAATGGGGCAAACGTATTAAGAACTCCTGCCCTGCTCATTTTTGTCCCTTATTTAACCTTCCATTTTCCCACTGGGAAACTGGGGTGAAGTTGTTGTTGTTTTGTATTCAGCAGTTTTTAAACAATGAATTGTCACGCTACCATCTGATCCACCCAGTATTATCAAAGGTAATTCTCAATAAAACTTTATTTGATTTGATTACATTTAGATGTCTGATGTTTATTAAATAAACGTCAGTCATTCCAGCTGTTTTGGGTTTTTTTTCCGGTCAAGAAAAAAAAGAATGATTGTATATACAAGGGTCAGAGGTTAATTGGTTGTGAAAGTATTACCTCAGACAATGATAAATTAAAAAATGTAAATTACATGTAATATGTAAAACAGCTCGTAGAATTTGAGAAAAATAATTGAAGAACAAAAAAAAGGGGAAGTTTCTGAAAGCCCACCACACAGAAAACCATGTTAAGGTTTAGGAATCTGAACTGATTTTTTTGCTTTTATCAAAAAACAGTTCAGGTATAAAAGGAAAGTGTGAGCTGTATTGCAGCTATAACGTTGCAACATAGACAAAAATAGAATACAAATGCAAAAGTAGGTGGTGAAAAGTTAGCTGTAAAATATGTTGATGCTAAACTGACGAAGAAGGTACGGCTACGCAACAAAAAAGGACATATTTGGTACCTGAGACAACAGGCCAAAAATAATACAGCTAAATGTTAAAGGTTTTGAAAACTTATAAAAGTATAGAAAAAGAAAAGAGAATGATGCAAAAAAGTGTCAGTTTAAGTGTCTTTCAGACAAAACGTGACCATGACCACTGACAACCAAACCAGCGATGCCCTTATAATGAAGTCCAGGTGAAAATAGAAACTAACAGACTCCTCTACTGACATTTTCAAACATGGGAATGTAGTTGAGTTTTTGCCCCATGTCCCTTTAGGGGCTCCGTAGTTTGTTTGAACAGCACAACGATAACAAAAGTAAATACTAATATTAGTACTACTAATGATATTAATAATTTTTAGATGTTATAAAACAATTTTAGGATTTTCTTTTTAGAATATCGATACTTCGTCCTTGTTTTTTATTAAATATAAAAAGACAACATGTAAATGGATTATTCTAATTTTAGAAGAACGTCGTCGCTGAAATAGAAAAAAAATACCCATAAGGCATCCCTTCCTTCGAGAAGCCGTATTTCCGGTCTTCTTCCTGTCTCATAACGGTTCAGCCCAGTTAGCTCCTGTTAGTTCCTGTTAGCATCTGGTAAATTCCGTACGCCTGCGACTCAGCTTTAGCTTCTGTTCATAACTCTGACAGTTGCTGTGTTTAATTTAGGAATAAACGCCTTGTTCTCTGTAACTCTCCGGTTCCTGTTGATCAATAACCTCAGTTAGCTTAGTCAGCAAAGCCTGTGAACGATGCGAACGATACAGCTCACAGTTTAATGCTGCGTTTGTGTGTTTGTAGACATGAAAACAGCGAGGACGAGACGTTAGCATGTTGTTAACACACAGCCAGAGAAACACAGAGACAAGAACAGGTGAGAGAACGAGTGGTCGGTGTGAAAACTGGGATACGATCAGCTGAAGCTAAGGCACAGTGAAGAATACAATCCCTTGGTGGAGTGTAAATAATCCGTGTGAAGCTAACCTGTAGTACGGGAGTGAGGGTGTGTTCATGTCATGTTAACACAAAGTAAAACATAAACGCTGAGTGAGCGTTAGTTGTTGGTGAAACAACTGTGATATAAATGTGATGCTAACTAAAGCTGAGGTGAATGTGGTGTGGTTTAAGATAAAATAAACCTGAATTTATATTTAGACTGAAGTTTAGATGGTCTTAACCTGGAGCTGCTGGTGTCATGATTGGCAGTTAGATCTGGTGTTACCTTAGATAAAACTGAAGTAGAAGTAGTTTTAAGGGAATGTGAACCTGCAGCTAATATTAGACTGATAACTTTAACCTGCAGCTGGTGGTAATATCACTGTAAATCCTACATGGGTTTGGGGTTCAGATAACAGAGTGGAAATAAGGATGTGATTTTACTGAAGTGGAGCTGCTGGTAAAAAACTAAAGGTACTTGAACCGAAGGCTTGAGTTAAATGTTGGGATAAAGTTGATGCTTAAAGCTTGATGCCTGAAGTTGATGCTATGTCAAATGTTGAGATGGTATGGGTGTAAAAAATACTGTAATATTAGCCTGGAGCTCAAGACTGAAGTAAGGTTAAGGTGCTGTAAACCTGAAGGCGGTGTTCACGGTGTTAGTGTTAAAGTTGGAATTATTTAAACCTGGAGCTAAGTTAGGACTAAGACAAGTATGTTAAAGGCTAATCTTTTAGTCTTAGGCTGTTGTGTACCCGACACTGACGGAGTACTGTTGTGAAGTGTTGTTTGGATAATGTTTTTCAGGTCCCTGTCAAGTGGAGTGAGTCAGACCCCCGTCTGGTCTGAGGTCTGAGGTGGACCAGTGAGGAAAGACATGTTCAGCCCTGTTTAGTCCCTGATCCACAACCACAGATCATGTCTGAGAATCAGGTCATCAACAATAACGCTCCGGTCAATAACAACACAGCTGCTGTAGGACCAAATAGGATCCGGAACCCCAACATGAACCAGAACCCGCTCATTAACGTGCGGGATCGCCTCTTCCACGCCCTCTTTTTTAAGACCGCCGTCACCTACGCCCGACTCTTCCCTCCATCCTTCAGAAGAGTCTTTGAGTTTTTCTTCCTGCTCAAGGTGAGGTGGGAAATGTGGGTCAGGTCAGAGTGGTTCAGATTCTTCTTCTTCTGTATCTTTGCCTCCATTCTGGCCTCACTGCCCATGTTGTATACTTCCTGTCAGTGGTGGAGCACAGTGGAAAATTGTCATTATTTAATTGCAATTCTTTTTATCAAATGTGAAAAAAAATCTTTAATTCAAATAAATGTAGTGAGTGTGTCATACTACTACTAGTACTAGTACTGCTATTAGTACTAGTCGTGTCACTGGATGCTGTAGCGTTTAATTTGTTTTCCCGGATTGTACTTCCATATAGTAAGTCTGTAGTATTACTACAGTGATTAAAATGTCACCTGCTGCCATCATTAGAATTGTCACACTGTAGGTTTCATTTAGTCGTAAAATCAGAATCAGAAACATTTTTATTGCCAGGTAGGTTTTCACCTACAAGGAATTTGTTGTGGCATACAGTGCAGCGAAAGAAATGTACATGGAGGTACACAATTATAACTTATTTATTATAAATAAATGGAAGTCTGGTCTGATCTTATCTTTGGGCAGTAGTGTCTTAGTGGTTAAGGAAGCAGACTTGGGTCCGGAAGGCTTCAGGTTCGAGTCCACCAGCTGTGGTGTGCTGTGTCACAATGACAAGTAGTTCACTTTCCTTACGACCTGCTCCACTCCTCAGGCGCTCTTTGTTCTCTTCATTCTCGCCTACATCCACATTGCCTTCTCCCGCTCACCCATCAACTGTCTGGAGGGGGTGAGGGAGCGATGGCCACGGGATGGGATCCTGAGAGTGGAGATCCAGAGAAACTCTAGCCGCTCGCCCGTCTTCCTGCAGTACTACGACTCACCCGGTGTGCAGGAGGAGCTGGAGGAGGAACAGCATGGAAGAGGAGCAGCAGGCGTAGGGCTGCAAGAAGAGGAAGAGGAGGAGGAGGAAATGACTGTGGAGATGTTTGACAACAGCTCAGTGCAGGTGACGTCACCTTTCGTTAAATAGTTGAGTTAGCCTGAGCTAACATTGATCTGAACCATAAGACTGGAGAACCGTTGTAGCCCCAGGGGGTACTACTGTAGTACTGACTGTACTCCACATAGTTAAATGCTAATGCTATAGGTCTAATCAGTTAAATGATGTTGTTCTGACCAGTTCTCTCCTGTTTCCCACTGCAGTTTGAGCTGGACATTGAACCCCGTCTGAAGCCATCGCTTGTCGGAGGAGGAAGAGGGGGACTGATGGTAGGAGAAGGAGGAGGCAACAAGAGTCAGGAGGTCTCTTTCACTCAGGCAGCTAAAGGTATGGAGCCACTGAAGGAGTCAGTGTCTGAGCTGGAGATGATGACCAGAGCAGGTAAAACACCTCCTCCTCCATACACCTCCTACATCACCTCCCCTCCTTCTCTCTCTCCTCTTTCCTCCTCTTTCTTCTTTCCATTCTTGATTTCTTTTCCCCTTCTCTCTGCTCTTGTTTTTCGCTGTTTTTCTTTTTCCTCCTCCACTGTTTATTCTGTTCTTTCTCTTCAGACTCCCCTCCTCCTTTTTCTTTTCTCCTCCTTCTCCTACTTCAGGGATGAATTCATTAGATGTTGTGGCTAATTGTTGTCATTTGTAGCTCATATGCTAATGACTTATTCCATTAAAGATCAAACTGCCAAAAGTTGCTAATGTCAACGATGCTGCAGCAGCTAACGATTAGCACTGAGGCTAGGACAGGAAATAGATGTTTGTGTTCGATCTATCGTCCTATCTGTTTGTTGAGTCTGCTCAGCTGCTCTGACGTGTCACTTCCTGCTGTGTTCAGCGCAGAAAGACGCTGTAATGAATTCATTTCATAGCAACAGGAACAAACGGCGTCAGAACTGTTAGCTCAGTAAGTTCCGGTGCACAGGTCAACTTCAATCAATCCCCACCTTTGGTACTGTTTTTCCCAGTGTGGCCTCAGGAAGAATACATCGTGGAATATTCCCTGGAGTACGGCTTCCTGCGTCTGTCCCAGAACACCAGACAACGACTTAACATCCCTGTCATGGTGGTAACTCTGGGTCAGTGCCCGGCGCAGCACACGCCTGAATGTCCTGTGACTCACCTCGCACCTGTCTAAGTCACCTGACTCTCCCCTGTCCCACGTCTGCCACAGATCCCATGAAGGACGAGTGTTTCGGAGACAGCTTCAGTCGGTTTCTGCTGGACGAGTTCCTGGGATATGACGACATCCTGATGTCCAGTGTAAAGGCTTTGGCTGAGAATGAGGAAAATAAAGGTTGGGACAGCCAATCAGCTGTGACCCCGCCCACTCTGAATCCACCGCTGACGTGTGTTTGTGTCCGGTTCTCTGCAGGCTTCCTCAGGAACGTGGTGTCTGGAGAACATTATCGGTTTGTCAGCATGTGGATGGCTAGAACCTCCTACCTGGCCGCCTTTGTCATCATGGTCATATTTGTGAGTAAATCAGTCCTGGAACTGTTGCAGTTTAGAACCGATTCATTTGCAACTAACAGGTTCTGTGTTTATTTTCCTCAGACGCTGTCCGTGTCCATGCTGCTCAGATACTCCCACCACCAGATCTTCGTCTTCATCGGTCAGTTGTACTCTGGTTCTGCTGAATGGCACCAAGAACTTTGCATAAAATCATTTTTTATTTTAAGAACTACATGTTTTTGTTCCCATTCTGGAACTAATCCCATCACCATAACAGTTCTAGTTCCCTCTGTAACTCATCCAAAAAGCACCAACAGTACTTGGACCTCCATCACTTCCAAAGTCTTTACAGAAAACAGTTCTATTTGTCAACCGATGTCTTGAAACATGCTGAGAGAATTAAAGGCTGACAGTTTTCCACCAATCAGGTGAGCCGGTGAAGCTCCAAGCTCCGCCCTCATAGATGCTGTACCCACTGATACTTACGTCCTACTTTTGAAACTGTTTTTGGGTTCTGACGTTTAGTTTCTGAACCCTCTGGAAAATCTTTACATGGTTCCTAGAACCAGTCTTTGATACTGATCCTTGGTAGTTGTTTAAGGTGAACACGCCTTGTATTTGTTCTGGTACTAGTTCCTGATATTAGCTCCTAGTACTATATCATGGTATAATTGTCTGCAGTGGATGTGTGCCTGCAGTCCAGCCCACAGTTCCTGTTCCGGTCCGATCTCTGTGGTCCGGTCTAGTTCCTGTTTCATTCTTTTTTCTTTTTTTTTTCAGTGGACCTTCTGCAGATGTTGGAGATGAACATGACCATCGCTTTCCCAGCAGCCCCTCTGCTCACCGTCATCCTGGCCCTTGTTGGTAAGACCACTTCCTCAGTACGATCAGTCCTGGACAGGAGATCAGGTCTGAGGTTTTGTTGTGTGATGATGTCACGTCCTGTGTATAGGTATGGAGGCCATTATGTCTGAGTTCTTCAACGACACGACCACCGCCTTCTACATCATCCTCATCGTCTGGTTGGCTGACCAGTACGACGCCATCTGCTGCCACACAAACACCAGCAAACGCCATTGGTTGAGGTGAGTCACCTGACAGATACCAGCCCTGCAATTGGTTCATTTAGGTCCAGACCATTAGAGATCGACAAGAAACTGTTTGTCTCCTGGGTGTGTGGTCTTCCTTCAGCAGGTCTTTGGGTCGTTGATGATTTGTTCTCCTGTAGTTCCTTAGCTCCAAGAGAACTCACAACATCAAAAAGTCTCAGATTTGTCTGCTACAGTTGTTGTTTGAACATCTTTTTACAAAACTTTGGTCTTCTCAGGTTCTCGTCTCTGTCTCCTCAGGTTCTTCTATCTGTACCACTTTGCGTTCTACGCCTACCACTATCGCTTTAACGGTCAGTACAGCAGTTTGGCACTGGTCACTTCCTGGCTCTTCATCCAGGTGAGCAGCAGCAGTAGAACCCCACCCACACACAAACCATAAGTTTATAAACTGAGAGATGAAGTGGGTGGAGTTACACATCTTGTGTCCTTTGCCCCCAGCACTCCATGATCTACTTCTTCCACCACTACGAGCTTCCTGCCATCCTGCAGCAGATCAGGATCCAGGAGATGCTGCTGCAGAACCAGGCCGGTCAGAACCACCAGACGGCCGTGCAGGACAATCTAAACAACAACACCACCGCTAACACTAACAGCACTGCGCCGGGCTCTGCTGAGTCCAACCAGCCAGCTCCGTCCTCCAGCCCTTCAACAACAACAACAGCAGTAGGAGGAGGTGGTGAGGTGAGGGCGGAGCTAAACTGGGTGGCCCACACGGCCGCCATCATCACAGAAGCTCTGTCCTCCACCACCCAGAATGCCAGAGTGGACACAGCGGAGCCCCACCCTCCCAGTGAGGGCCACGAGTCAGGAGGAGGAGGAGTTACGGGAGGAGATGCTGATTCAACAGTTTCAGCAGAAAATAAAACTACAGTTGAGTCGTTGTCTATCAGCCAGCCAATCAGATGTCAGCAGATGGAGGCGGGGCCTTCTGCTGGAGCAGCATCCCCAGAAACAGACTCCGTCCCTTTACAGAGTCCTGGTGCAGACTGTCCTCCTCACACGTCCCCAAGGACGTCCTCCTGTGTCCTTCTGACATCGTGTGACCTCAGTCTGACCTCCTTTGCTGATCAAGGTGATTGATCACTGGTTGATTCTCTGACTTTTAAAGTGACACCTGACAAAGATTTATTAACTTCCTGTGATCGACAACAACACATGCCACTAGTCTGGTCAGGTGGCTCCATGTCACATGACCTTGGTCACAAGAGCCGTTCAATTAATTAATCAGTTGAATGATAACTTTAGAACATGTGATTGATAACAATAACCGTGAAACTTGAAGACGGGTTATTGATCAACCCAGATTCTGACCAGATCTGGTTTTTGTTGATTTTATTTTGAAAGGGTCATGATTGACAGTAGAGACACTTCCTGTCAGAACTGATGCCTTATTGATCATTTTCTGACGTCAGCAGCTCACTGATGTCAACTATCACACCTCAGGCCCCGCCCCTCACACCAGAAAAATACCCACGTCCCAGTCAGTGGGGTGCAGCCTAGCCTCCGGTCTTCAGACCATAGGGGGTCAAAGGTCATTGAAAAGAGATCCTCGGAAGTTCTCGTGATTTGATTTCCATAAATGTACTCGTCTGAGTGGCAGAGGGGAGGAGTCAGGTCACCCCCCCACATCACCACACACCACTCTCACTGGAGGATTCTGGGATGTAGGGGCTGGGAATCCTGACCTCGGTCTAAACAGGTAGAACAACAATGTCACTGTTTGTATTTGTTGATTCTAATTGATGTGGGTCAGAACCACAGAACAGGACATAGGTTTAAATGTAGAATCAAATCAGTACGACAAAGAACAGAGTTTTACTGGTGTACTTGGTTATTTTATCAAAGAATACATACATTTACTCTATGACAGTGTACTATCAGGTATCTGTGTTTTTCAGACAGTGATCTCTGACCTTAACCTCCTGACAGTCTGGCACTGGTGAAGTAAATGAAGCTGGGAATGTGCTTCAACAAAGTGTACTCTGTCACGATGGTAATGTCCGTGATATACACAAAAATATACCTGACAAAAAGTAAAGATATACTCAGATGATGTCAAGTACACTAAGAAATACTCTGTCCTTGTTTGTTTTTTTACTTCATTTGTCCATGTATTTGATCGACATTCACTATGATTTTATTGGTCATTTTAGAAACTGCTTGAAAATGTCATTTCACCTGGGCCACACTGCCCCCTCCTGGGTGTGTGTTCTACAGCAGGAAGATGAAGGTCAGTGTTTCAATGGCATTATTTGTTCTTGAGGGGTCAGGGAGGGGGACTGAGGTGTGATATTATAGGGATGGGGGTGCAAGTTTCTCTGTGCCTGTAGCTTCATTAGTTTCTGTATTTAACTGTAACACAAACATGTACAGGAAGTGAAATAAAGAGTCAAATACTGTATTGTAGGACGTGTCTGCGTTCTGTGATGTCTGGAGCCAAGGTTCAGGTGAGAACCAGGAAAAGAACGTCACAGTAAACAAACGTTTATTACTGAACAAACTGAAATAGAAAAATAAAATCACATGATGTAAAACCTTCAGAAATAAAAACATCCCAGGCTCCACCCACTACATGCCACTGGTCTAGACAGCTGTCAATCATCTGACACTGATAGGAACTAAACACTGACCTGGAAATACCACATGAAACTTCTGTTATTTTACAAGTGAGGTTGTAGAAAATGAGCATGCAAAACATAACATAATTCCTCTCTCTACTTGGGCCCCTTGGTGGTTTTGAAGGACACCTGCAGAACCCTGTCCCCCAGCCTGTAGCCGTTGAGGCTGTTGATGGCCATGGCAGCCTCCTCGTAGTTGGCCATAGTGACGAAGCCGAAGCCTTTGCACTTGTTGGTGTTGAAGTCTCGGATCACCTTCACGTTGGCCACTGCCCCAAACGGCCCGAACATCTGCCACAAAATCCCCTCGTCAGCATCCTGACCCAGATTGTAGATGAAGATGCACCAACCAGAGGCGGAGTTGCCTGAGACCCCGCCACCTCCACCCATGTGGTCAACACTCATTGGAGAAAACCTAGAAATGGTTCAACAAGTTAAGAACCAATCCTAAGGAATCACTTAAAGATGAGTCCCGTCGTGAAATGCACTAACAGGAAGTGACAGCAGGACTGGTACCTGAATCTCTGGGCCTGGTGATGGACCGGTCCACCAAAGCGACGCGATTGGCCGTGATACATCTGAGAACTGGCCTGAGACATCTTGGTCTGATTTGGGTTTGCAGCAAACTTTACTGTGATTGGCTCGGCGGTGCCCGGCGGTGTGGTCCCATTCATGTGCTTGACAGCATCCTCGGCCTCGGATCGCTTATCGTAACGGATGAAGGCCACACCCCTAGACAAACCTGTTAAACAAACTAGGGAGGGTTAGCATGGACAGACCTGATGGGTGGTGTATTGGTAAGCCAATCAGATGACTGACCTGAGGCCTGGTCCACCAGCACCCTGGAGTTGATGATATGTCCGTAGTGTGAGAACATGTCCTCCAGCTCAGGCTGCGTTAGTGTGCGTGGCAGACCGCTAATATACAAGTTAGCGTCTTTGATCATATCTGAACTCGGCCGTGCGAAGGACACCTGCAAACGTCAAAGAATACATGAGCAACTGTGAGTTGGTCGACGCAACGCTACACAGCTTAAAAAAAAAAAAAGAAAAAAAAAGAAAAACAATTTATATGAGCCAAACATTTACTGTGTGAAAATAACAACAAACACTTGTTTATCCAAAAAAGTTAAAAAAAAAAAATCACAAACAAGGTTTGTTTTGAAAATAAAAGCATTAAAGACACGGTCAGAGTGAAAATACCTCGGTGGGTGAGCGACAGCGCCCTCTACATGTGTGAGCCACGTTACCTTGATGGTTTTAGACTGTAGCCTCAGGCCATTGAGCGTACTGATCGCTCGCTCAGCATCAATATGGTTAACAAAGTTAACAAAGCCGTAACCTAAACTGTGGCCTAGAGAAACACAAACAAAAAACAACAAACAAAATAAAACAGCAGCCGGCGCCAAACGCACGCAAGGCTTGAGCGCCACAAAATAACAAACGTAGTAGTGGTGTCACAGACCGTTAACAGACCAATGAGGCACTGCTGTCAGATCTTTGTTTACAAAGTAAAACAACACCTCACAGTTTGTGGTTGATTTAATTTTATAAAATTAACTCTCCGTTAATTTGCTTATAGCCGCTAGCTGTCAGTGTTTACCATTTGAGTTTCTTTGACTGCAAACCTGATCCGTTTGTGCACTAACATTTGGCCATTTTGTTAACGGTACATTTGATACATTTGTTTTAACAGTTGGACTGGTTTAAGTACTGTTTTCACTCAGTGTTCAGAAAAATGAGTTCTGACTTACTAAGTACTAACACTAGATGGCATTTATCTTCCTAAACAGAAAGGGTGTCAAAGTTTTTGTGTAAGGGTCTTCGATCTGTGACACCACTAAAACAAACAGTTCTGACCAAACCCAGAATAATGTCCTGAACCCAAGGCTGGAGTGAATCAGAGAAAAGTCATTTTGTTCTCTTTTTACTCAGTGAAACACTGGCCATAGAAGGAAGGACCACTAAGACGGACTGACCGCCTGTCACATGACCGACATGATCCGGGTGTCCAATCAGAGAGCAGACTCTAACCTCAGGTGGGGGTTTTCTGTCTTTGATCAGAACGTGAACATTTTCAGACATTTTCATCCAGTTAAAAAAAATGACAAGCAATTTAGACCTGCAAGTGTTCAGAATATTAAATACTAATTTTTTTATACTCAGACAAACAGGTGTAACTGTATCAGCAGAGTACCGACAAGTGTAAAATCAGCTGATGACATGTCATAGTGATATCAGGTGACACTTCTGTTCAAACTTGTCCAGGTAAGACTACAGCCGTTTGTCTGAGTGTAACATACTGAGGTGTATGTCAACGAGAAGCCAGTGAAACTAGTACAAAAATCAAATCCATCACAGAATCTTGTAACTTTAAAACAAACAAAATCTGTGTCTTTGTTCTGTACTGTTAAGACTCTGCTCGTCATGGTAACTGAAAAACAAAAGTACAACAGTTCAGAGGAAAAAAACATTGAGTTAGAAAAACAAACAAACAAAAAGGAAATCACAGAATTGTCTTTAAAAAAGTTACATTTGTTAAAAAAAACAATCAGCTGATCTTTGTAAGAAAAAAATGCTAACAAGGCTAATAACTTAGCTAACAATATAAACTATAATGCCACAATGCTAATAATGCTATATTAATTAGGCTTACATCACCAGAACCATTTAATCAGATGTTACTGTTTCAGTTGTTTTTACTTGTGGATAAAAAAAGAAAACATAATTACAAAAAACATGACAGATTTGTCCGAGATGCCAATAACGCTGATATACTGGTTACATACTAATTTTCTTGGAGATGTTCAGATCATCAAGAGGCCAAATTTGAGCTCATGCTAATATCCTTCCATCATTAGTTCCACCATGTCTTCATATATAGCTGCCATATTTAGACCTTTTATCTTTATATTAACAATATTTTATTAATCGTTTTACTGTGTTTCAAACCAGTTAAAATGAGAATCAAAAACGCAAAACCAATAAACTTTTCATCAGAAAAAATAATTTCAGACATTAATGACATTTACACTTATCTTTAGATAAAATCATTGTATTGTATGAAAATAATCAGCTGGTCCAAGACAAAAAAGCCAGTGCAAAAAAAAAAAAAGAAATATTGGGCCGACTGTAAGTCAGTTATTTTTATATGAAAATAGAAAGAAAAAAACAACAACAAATCAGCTGGTTATAGAAAAAAAGACAATCACAGGAGTAGAAGCCCACAGTGGGAAAGGGTCAATGGTAAAGTGCCAATAATGCTAATATGACTAAAGATGCTAAAAAAAAGTGCATGACGAATATTAAAGTAGTATCTCTCAGATAGAACTGACTGGTATTTGTATTTAGTCTGCATTTCATACCAATGTAGCCTGTCCAGAAGAGACGAATACACCTACAGGTGTTCTGTGGTACTGCAGCAGTAAGGTGTGTTTCTTCTGTTGTACACTCAATGCAGCACCACCACAGTATTTTCATGCAGTGGTACCACATTTAAAGTGCAACATGCTTCCACAGTGTAGTAAATCTGCGTGTGGGGAGGGGGACCTACCAGTCACTTTGTCGCGGATGAGTTTGGCTGACTCCACGTCACCAACGCTGCTGAACAGACTCCGCAGCTCGTCCTGGTTCATGCTCTGTGGCAGGTAGTTGACGATCAGGTTGGTGCGAGAGTCGTCGTCCTCCTCCATCATTTGATCCTCAAAACCATTGTTGTACATATCCTGCATCTCACACACACACACACACACACACACGTCTAACGATCTCTGAAATATGTCAGCATTGTTGGTCAGTAAAAGGAAGAAGAACTCACTGTAGCAACAGCTCCTTTTGCGGCATCTCTGACGTCATTCTGCGATGCCTGAACTTCACACACCTTAAAGAACAAATGAAAGAGCTGATGGTCCTGTGGGGGGAGAGGGTCATTCTGATCAGAATAATCCCTGGACTCACCTTCAGGTACCGGATGTGTCCTCGTCTCAGAGCCATCGAAATGTCTGGTCACTGTGCCTAGGTGATGGACATCCATTTTGTTAGCAGATCTCATTTTGCACAAAGATTTGGTATCCACTTGGAGGCTAATAGTTTCATAACGCAAAATAAAATTAAAAAATAAATGTGTACTATATTGATCCCACGTCATACCATTTGTGTGTGTAGGGTTTTATATTGAATTGTCTAAAATTGTGAGCGGTATTTGCATAAAACAATAAAACAGCTCTAAAATAACATCTTTTGAAATCAGCCGTAATGTTTTCGATCTTTTGAGGTCACAGTCACGTAGGGTGGTTTTGCCCTTTCTGACTCATTGTCATTGTATATTTAAAGAAAGTCTAAACATTTTAAACGCACACTTTTGCTTGAAATTGCGCGGTTTCATGCGATTTTTACGTTAACACAAAGCGCTGACGCTAGCAGCGGGCTAGCCGCGTGTTCCTACTGCTGAAGGTAAACGGCTACAGTACATGGTAGCAGTAAATGCAGAATATTCTTACCTCGGCAGATGTCAGGGGAAAGAACTCGGCGTTCGCTTGTTTGTTTGAGTTTTTTTAAATTGTAACGTTATTTTCTTTTCTTCGACGACGTTTCAGATTGCTAAGCTAACAGGGCGAATCCCACACCATTAACCGTTAGCCGCTTACTGTGTCACGCACAAAGGAAACCAAGTCACGTTAACACTAAAGGCTCGCGAGGTTACATAATTTATCAGCGGGTTGAATGACATCAGGGGAGGGCGGCTTCTAAAATCCTTTTTACTGGCCAGCTTGGTTAGGGCCTGTCCTATCAATAATGTGGATTGTACGCAAACGCGTACGTGTTCGTGGTTGAAGTACTGTATATGATTTTAAGACTCAGAATTATTACAAATTTCTTTCAGATTGATGAACTATTATTATCTATGCATTATCTATTATTCTGTCTTTCTTTATTCGTGAATGATAACTTAAATTGGCTTAGATCCAAATATAAGCTCTGTTAAACAAAAATAAATAAACTGGAGTTCCGATTCCAAGGGCCCCTGACTAATAGGGGCCCAGAAACTATAGAATCAACTTAAACGTACATGTAGGGGCCCTTTGTCATATCATCCCATGGCCCCCAGAATTTCTGGCAACGCCCCTGCCCCTGATTCTCTGATGAGCAGCCCTTTGGATTTGGGGCCTAAACGGAAACATAACACATCTTACTCAAGTAATTTCATAATTATAATATTTCGAACATACAAATGTATTAAAACAAAAGCAAACATTTAAAACATTTTTTTGTTATCCGACTTATTTACACCCAATGATTAGTTATCGTTACGTCAAGTTTACGTTTCTCTGACGTCAGATACGACTTCCGCTGCGGAAGCCGTGGCAGCTGTAAACAAAGCATCAGCTCCGCTCAAAGACAAAATCATAATTATAACCATCAATAAAAGCAATGGAAACACCAGAGAGCGGGTCGCTGTAAGACATGGAAGCTGGCGGAGACTAAACAGGAACCAGAACCATGTCAATGGAAGATCCGTTCTTCGTCGTTAAGGGGTAAAGACAAGGAGCTAGCGGGTTCAGAGCTAACTGAAGCTAGTGTCAGCTTGAGATGGAGAAGAGTGCAGATCGGAAGCTAACACTCCTCCACATACACACTCAGTCGTTCTCGTTAAGTAGTCAGCTAGTCTGCTAACCTGTTGTTTTTATAAATCTCATGAAGACATTTAAAAACAACTGCGCCAGGCGGACATTGGAAGGAGTATGAACTTTTTAGCAACACAGCTACAGACTCTGTTACACAATAATTAATACACAAATTTGCATGCGAACTGTGGAAGCCCAGTTGGACGTATTTTATACATTCCAAAAATGTATCTGTGATTAAACTTTTATCTCTTTCCGCCGGGGGCAGGCTGACCAGGTGTCTTGCTGGTCCATGACATCAGGGTGTAAGTTGGACTTTTTTACTTTTTTGTTGACGGCTTGCTGCTGTGTTACAGGGAGGTGGAGAAAGCAGTGAACGCAGCACAGAGCCTCCATCACAGATGGACCGAGCTGGTGCAGGAAGGAGGTGGAGCCTCCAAGGAGGAAATGGACTGGACCACCAATGAGCTCAGAAACAGCCTGCGCTCCATCGAGTGGGACCTGGAGGACCTGGACGAGACTGTCAATATCCTTTTGATGGGACCCCTGTGCTGAGGTCATACAGTGTTGATGATGTCATCAATTCCACCTGACATTTCTGTTTTTTGTCCTTAACTTTCATTGAAAGCATCGTGGAGTCGAATCCCAGGAAGTTTAATCTGGACGCCCCAGAGCTGTCAAAGAGGAAAGCCTTCATCAGCAAAACTAGAGAGACACTGAAGGTACAGGCCGTTATGATTGGCTGATCAATCAGCTATCTGGTTGGTTGTGTAAGTGACAGGTTGGATTTGTGTCTGTAGTTGATGAAGGAGCAGATGTCCAGTCCAGCTGCTGCATTAGTGGACAAGAAGAACAAACAGGCAACAAACCACACACACACACACACGTTCTACAAACACTCATCACATGAGGTCATTAATGTTGGTTGGTTTGATACCGGTTCAGGTGCCGACGCTGCGGCCTGGTCCTGATAAGTTTGTGCGTCTGGATCAGCAGCTGCAGAACGCTAACTCTCAGTTCATTGAGGAGCAGCAGTCACAGCAGCAGGTACACTAAAGCCCGTCATCATCATAGCATGTCATCTCTTTGTGCTGATGTCACATGTTTTTTGTGGACCAGCTAATTGCAGAGCAGCAGGATGAGCAGCTGGAGCTGGTGTCGGGAACAATCGGAGTTCTGAAGAACATGTCAGAGCGTATCGGAATGGAGCTGGACGAGCAGGCTGTGTAAGAGCTCTGTGGTTAAACCTGACGTCAACCGAAGAAAACACAGTTCAAACCCATTCCGTAGCCAGTGATTATAAAACCAGTTTAGATTCAAAGTTCTGGTCCAAACCTGCCTGTCTGAACCCTGTTCCTCTTTTATCACCTCTGAAGTTATGACATCATAGATTAGATTATGACATCATAGATTAGCTCAGTACATTAGGCTCAGGTTATCCGTTGTCTCCACAGGATGTTGGACGACTTTGGTCATGAGATGGACAATACTCAATCCAGACTGGACAACGTGATGAAGAAACTGGCCAAGGTGTCTCACATGACCAGCGGTGAGATTAGTTCATTCATGGTTCATTCTCCAAACTCCAGAGTCAGGATTAACTCTGTTTAACTCATCCTGTCCTCACAGATCGTCGTCAGTGGTGTGCGATCGGTGTTCTGCTCGCCATCCTCTTTGTCATCCTCCTCCTTTTCTTCATCCTGTGATTGGATCAGAACCAAACCATTTCAACTAAACGTGGTTCTGATTGACAAGAAGAATCTGGACTTCCTGGGGTCATTTGGACTTCAGACTCTCCTGGACTTTCCTAGACCCTGGTCCACATTCACACTGTGTTTAAACCTTAAACATTAAACCTTCACTTGTACCAGGTCACATCATTTCAGTGGAGGCTGATGAACTCAGCTGGTTTCACTTGAACCTAAAACCAGTAGAACCACTGACTACACAGTGGAACCAGTAGAACTGTTAAACTCCACTTCAATCTCTCTCTCTCTCTCTCTCTCTCTCTCTCTCTCACTTTTACAGGTGAATGGTCTGGACCTCAGTCTCGTTTTAACTTTTATTTCTTCCTGGTTTTAACTTGATTTTATCCAGGCTTGTTCCTGGTGAAGTTCAGATTAGTATTTGTTCAACCATGATAACTTTGTTGACATAGTTGTTTAATCATGATAATTCACACTCCAGTCTTAGTTAATCCTGACCTTTTCTTGAACAGTTTAATCTAAGTTTATTTACAATAATCCTCCGAATTAGTCTGCTCCAGAGTTCAGTTTTATTTAAACTCAAGTTGAACACTAAGTCTGTGTTTGTTTTTCTCTGTAAACCCATTTAGTGTTAGTTCTTTTTAAACTTGGTTTACGTTTAAGTTTTTACTTTCTGTATTTATGTGTTTCTTTACTGATTGATCACTGATCAAATTATTTATCATCTTACTGCTGCTGATTGAAGACAAAGCAGAACAAGGACGTTTGTTTGTTTGTTTGTGGTACGAGGTGAAGAAACATTTCCTGTTCAATAGAAACAAAGAAACTGAAACTGGTTCTGGTTCAGTTTTTATTCAACTGAAACAACAAAGAAAAATATGTGTCACAACATGAAGGTCAAGTGTTATTGATCACCGATCAGTTTGTTCAGTAGTGTTAAACACTGACAGATCACTGGTCAGTTTTCACCTGCAGCTAAGTTTTATTTCCAGTAAATAAAACCAGAATTTAAAAACTATGTTTGTGTCAAAGTTCAGTTTGAACTCTTTCTGAGTCTGGTATTTATGGATTGACAGGATCAGGAGTGTTTACTTCAGTGTGCTTCTCTGTTTTTACTTACCAACTGTTAAGATAAACAGATAAATAACCAATAATTAAGAAAGAGTTTCATATTTGGTTATGTCGTACACTTTATAATAAATAGATATTTAAGTAAATTACATTAATATTGAAATTCTACCAATATAAATGTTAGAAAAGTAAATGAAATGCCACAAGGTTTTAAGACAACCTGGAGTCCCATCATACCACTGTTCCAAATAATATGTCATTTTTTTCCAACTCCTATTAAGAAATTAAATAGGGAATGGAAACTCTTATTAAGGATATCAAAGTGTCTTTAAATTATTACCAGAATATAATCTAATGAAATTTATGACACTCGACCTTTAACGTTTCCTTTAGAAAAATGTTATGAATCTGTTGTTAAAGTAGGCATTTAAAGGGATTTTAATAGTGTAATATAAAATGTTTAAAACACGTCAGTGGTTTTGTAATTGTTAACTATGAAGTGTAAATCAGCCACAAGGCAATGCTTATATTTTCAAACAGGCAATTACACGGACACCTTTAACGCAAGGGTCCTTATTCAAGTCAACCAAATGAACTGAAGCGGTTTATTTGTAAGTCTGCTTCATAAACCATGTTGCATTTCTTCTTATCAGAATAAACCGACGGCTATCTTTACATTTAGATATTCATTTTAAGGCAATGCGATAGGCTTGGGTTGATTGCTTTATTTGAGAATTTGCATTACGATAAACAAAAGAAGAAATGCTAAGCTAGTGGCTAACTGATGGGTACAACGACCTAACACAATCAGAATAGGAAGGTGTATAATTTCCGGGGAAATTAATTGAAAGGTGTAGTTTGCCCGAGACTTACTCTCTAGCAAAAATCTGTGATTTTTTTCCAGCACAGAAAATTTATATTTGTTGATCCCGACTAAACATTGTCATTCAAAAACAACGCTTAATCGTTTCTGTTGTTCATAACACACAGATTGTGTGCTGTTCAATCCGCTTGTGCATCTCTGGATGAGACGTCTCACCAGTGAGGGACTTCTGTGGTGACGTCATGGAATTGGCATATGTATGCGAGTGGGACAAACGTCAGAAGAGCACACACTGTCCCTCAATCCCGCTGGTATGTTCCTGGTCCTGTAGGAACCTGGTGGCCTTTACCACTGACCTCAAGAACGAAGAAGAAGACAAAGGTACAAAACACATACAGAATCATACGTCTTGATGACGTCATCATACCCTGCTACAGGTGGTGAAGTTAACAGTGTTACCTCTGTGTTGCAGATGTCAGTCACATGATTCATATCATTGACACTGAACACCCCTGGGATGTTTACTCCATCAGCTCTGGACACTCTGAGGTCATTTCCTGTCTGGAGTGGGATCACTCAGGTGACGTTTCTGTTCTTTACTCAGCAAAACTACAGTGAGAGAGACCAGGGTCCAGACTGGAAGATTATCAAGTCTGGCTGAATCCCAGATTTTGTCCAGAGACTGAACTCTTAATCATCAGCGTTGAAACAACAGCAGCTGTTTGTCTCTGTCTTTCAGGTTCTCGTCTGCTGTCAGCTGATGGTAACGGTCAGATTAAGTGCTGGGCCATGTCAGATCACCTGGTGAACAGCTGGGAGTCTGTTCTGTCCAGTTCTCTGGAAGGAGACCCCATTGTGGCTCTGAGCTGGCTGCACAACGGCGTTAAACTGGCTCTGCATGTGGAGATGGTAACCACGGCAACACGGTTGTTCCGCTGAACTCCCTGTGAACTCATGAGTGAAGCTTTCTTCTCTCTGCTCCTAGTCCGGTTCTACCAACTTTGGTGAGAAATTCTCTCGTGTGAAGTTCTCTCCATCCATGACTCTGTTCGGTGGGAAGCCAATGGAGGGCTGGTTGGCGGTGACAGTCAGTGGTCTGGTCACCGTATCACTAATGAAACCCGGTGGCGCTCTGCTGACAGCCAGCGAGAGTCTGTGTCGACTGAGAGGACGGGTGGCGCTGGCCGACATTGCCTTCACAGGAGGAGGAAATATTGTAGTGGCAGCGACTGACGGCAGCAGCACATCACCGGTCCAGTTCTACAAGGTGAGAGTTCTCCGGGGGATGAAGGCGGGCACCCACACTTTTTTAAAATAAAGCTTAAGCTACAAACAACTTTCTGGTCCAACCCACTTCACCATGGTCTGACGCATGGTCTTTTTAGCACCAGAATTCCTTATGTCTGGTTACCTGTTTTGAGACGTGAGAACCCCCCCTACTGTAGTGGATGTCATTGGTCACATGAACCGCCCAGATTTCCATCACATCTCATTCATTTGGAGAGACCCTCTCTACTTCAGGACCCTCAGAGTTTTAACTGTCAGCCTTTCGTCTGGTGATGGTTTTTAGGAACTTGAAGTTAAGAACATGTTCTCCTGTTCTGTCCTCCTCCACTGACTCCCTGTGCTGCTGCAGTGGTCCAACCTCAGCTCTAAGGTCACCTGACCAGCTCCTCTTAGATGAGACCTGAAGATCACACTGCAGGAACCAGGACTGCTGCAGCCCTAACCCTCTGGAACCTCAGCCTGATGTGTGTGTGTGTGTGTGTTTTTTAGGTGGTGGTCAGTGTGGTCAGTGAGAAGTGTCGTATCGACACAGAGCTGCTGCCGTCGCTCTTCCTGCGCTGCACCACCGACCCGCTGAGGAAAGAGAAGTATCCCAGTGTGACGCAGCTCAGGTTCCTGACCAGAGAAAACTCTGAGCAGGTAACAGTGAGAGGAGATTCGAGGGCAATGGTCACACCTGAGGAGTAGACCAGAGGCAGCAGTTTAATGGACCTCACTTGAAGTGCAGTCAAGGATGTAATACTGCCCCTGACCAGCAGAGGCTTTAATTTGTGTTCTGGTCATAAAATGTGTGTGTGTGCATGTGTGTTCTCTCACAGGTGCTCCTGTGTGCATCCAATCACAGTGGCAGCATTGTAGAATGCTGGTCTCTGAGGAAGGAGGGACTTCCTGTCAACAACATCTTCCAGCATCGCTCCCCAGTCGGTAGGAGTTGATGTTCATCTGTGATGTCACTCTGGTACTGGCTCTGATGTCACTTACACTCTGACTCTGCCTCCTCCTTCTGTGCAGTGGGGGAGAAGCAGCCCACCATCCTGAAGTGGAGGATCCTGACCACCACCAACGACCTGGAGAGAGTGTCGGCCGTGGCTCTGCCCAAACTGCCCATTTCCATCTCCAACACTGACCTGAAGGTGGCATCAGACACTAAGTTCTTTCCAGGACTGGGTGAGAGAAGGCCCTGTCCACACATCATCATCAGCATACTTGAACCTTTGATCAGTGTGATGACCAACGATGATCAGCTGATTAGCAATGATCAATACTCACAGTTCTGTTGCCTCAGTGTTTGGACATGATGAAGCCGCTCGTTGTGTTTGTTGATGTAAGCGTCAGTGTTAATTGGTTGGTATTCCTCAGGACTGGCTCTAGCGTTCCACGATGGAAGTATTCAGATCCTCCACCGTCTGTCACTCCACACCATGGGTGTTTTCCATGGTCTGTCATCCAATCAGAGACCTGGAGATGAGGCGGTCATCAAACGGCAGAGAACGGGAGGCCCCGCACTTCACTTCAAAGCCCTGCAATTCTCCTGGACGTCATTGGCTCTGGCTGGGGTTGACAACCACGGAAAGGTGAGGAGATGAAGCCGAGTCAGGTGACCTCTGCCACTGACCTCTGCTGTGTCACATGACCCCATCTCTGTGTTTCCATCCTCAGCTCCACATGCTGCGTGTGTCGCCCTCTATGGGCCAGGTGCTAGACATGAACACTACGCTGCGCCACCTGCTGTTCCTGCTGGAGTACTGCATGGTGACGGGCTATGACTGGTGGGACGTCCTGCTGCACGTTCAGCCCACCATGGTCCACAACCTGGTGGAGAAGCTGCACGAGGAGTACATGAGGCAGAACCAGGCACTGCAGCAGGTCAGAGGTCGAGACTGAGAGGTGTCATGTGACATGACACAGCACCTTTGCTAACTCTGCTGCTAATGATGCTGTTACCGCTGCTGCTGCTCGTGGGTCAGCAGACCTATCTAAATTCTCAATCTGTGGTTCAGGTCTTGGCCACAAGAATCGTGGCTGTGAAGGCGTCCCTGTGTAAACTGTCCACGGCCACAGCGGCGAGAGCCTGCGACTTCCACGCCAAACTGTTACTGATGGCCATCAGCTCCACCCTGAAGTCGCTGCTGAGGCCACTGGTCCTCAACATGCCTGACAAGAGTCCAGGAGACCGTCTGAGTGAGATCTGCTCCAAGAACACAGACACAGGTGAGAGAGGGTGACCACCTCAAAACCGTCAAACTGATGGACCAGTAGCAGGTTTGAGTGGGACAATGAGGGACAGCTGCAATCATTTAAAGTCAACCCTTTTTTACCAAGTAAAATGCACGGATCTCACCTTTTACATTAGACTGAGTTGTCTAATGGAACTCCAATTTCAATGTAAATAGGTCTCTGTAAAACCAACAACTCCTATGGATTATATCGCCATCTGTGACCAAAACACGAAAATAAAAAATAGAAATACCCCAGCGCCACTAACCAGATGTTGCATCACATCTCAGCACTATGAACAGCACGTTTCTGAAACACTGGTAGCAGAAGAGCAACCAAATGTTAAAACCTAGAAAATAACAAGATTCAATGTCCATGAATATATATTCTACATCGTTGTTGAACTCTATGTACCACTGTGTGCAGAGTGATATGAATGTTCATACTGCAGTAATTTTAACTGCGTCGTTTCCCATCAGATTCACAACCAGGTCCGACAGAAAAGACGTTTTTACACAAATTGCAGAATGCTGGTTCAGAATCTCCACCCAGCGGTCTCCGCCCAAAGGTGGCGTCTTCTTTTTTTCGGTACACTGCACTTGGGTGCCTTCACTGTATCAAAACAACTGTGCTCTACAATTTCAGACGCTAAAGTGTGTGAGATTGCTGCAAGTCAGCAGTTTGATTGACAGCATGTCAGCTACCGCCTTATCCACAAAGTGACCTATCATTGATGTGGACTGCACTGACAGCCAGGCACAGAAAAATGTTTATTTTCAATTAAGTAATGTTGAATGAAAGCGTGGGACAAAATCTTGAATTTGTGTGACATGGGACAAAGGCTAAAATTGCTGTGCAATACAAAGTAAAGTGGGACAGGTGGTCGTTCTAAGGTGAGAGGTCATCATCATGGCCTCCTGCTGATATGGATCCATCAGTAATGAATCCGCTGGTCATCTCTCCACAGACATTGACAAGGTGATGCTCAACCTGAAAACGGAGGAGTTTGTGTTGGACGGTCCTCCGCTCCAGTCACTGCAGCAGCTCATCCAGTGGGTGGCAGACTTCGTCCTCTACCTGCTGGCTAATCTGCCTAATCAGGTGATGTCAGATAGACACACCCCATCAATAATCTGATTGAGGCTATGCTGATGGGTAACTGTGATGTGGCGCCTCCTGCAGGGCTCTATGGTGCGTCCAGGCTTCGGCTTTATGAGGGATGGAGCCTCTCTAGGTCTGCTCAGAGAAATGCTGGTGATGATCCGAATCTGGGGGCTGTTCAAGTCGGGGTGCCTGCCCACCTTCACTGCCATGTCTGACAACCAGGACAGTCTGCAGCTGCTCTTCAGACTACTGACCAGGCTGTGGCTCTGCTGTAAGTCACCTGACTGGGCTGTGATGTTATCATGGCTGACTTCAGACTTGAGGTTGTTGTTTCTTGAACATCTGTCCTGACTTCTAACCTCTGTGACCCAGCCCGGGATGACGGTCCGGCCCAGGAGCCTGACGAGTCCTTGATCGACGAGTGCTGCCTGCTGCCCAGTCAGCTGCTGGTGCCGGCTCTGGATTGGCTGCCCATCAACGACGGCATCATCGTCAAACTGCAGGGAAAACATCCAATCAGACTGCAGTTTGGAAAAGCTGTGTCTCTGCACGGAGGAGGGGGAGGAGGAGGAGGAGCTCTGGACGTCTTCACCAGGTTCTACCAGCGCGCACACACACACACACACACAGAACACACCAAAAAATACCACAGGTTGTTTATATTAACATAGGTGTGTGTGTGTGTGTGTGTGTTTTCAGGACTTCCAGCTCTCAGAAGGTGGACAACCTGCGTTGTGTTCATATGGGAGTCAGCCCCACGGAGGAGAGTAAAGCCTGCACCAGGTGAGGCCACAGGAAGTGATGTCACAATTCTTTATGACATCACTGTGGGCTAAAATTTGAAATTCCTCCTGAAAATGTGAGGATCAGATCAAAGAGTGTGTGCGTGTGTGTGTGTGTTTAGGTGTGGCTGTGTGACCATGCTCCGTTCTCCCAACAAAACCAACGCCATGAAGCAGTGGGAGCAGCGTTGGATCAAAAACTGTCTGTGTGGAGGTCTGTGGAGGAGGATCCCTCCGGCTCCACCCACTTAAGATCACCTGACCTTTACTTCCTGTTAGTGTTTTAATTTGTTTGAATGGTGATGAAAAAATCATTTTGTAATAAAAGTGTTGACAAAATAAAACTCCTCTTCTTCTCTTGACCTCCACCTCCTCTCACTTTTCTTCTTCTCGGTTTCTCCACCTGCCTGACTCCTCCTCCTTTTTGTGTTCAATTTAACCCTGATTTAAAAAGACTGTGTTCTCCTGCTCTTCCTCCAGCCCCCCCCCCCAGTTTATTCCTGATCTCCCTGTAGTCCCCCCAGTCTCTTGTCGTCATGGTAACAGATTCTCTCCATTGTTTCTAGAACAAAAACAATCCACTGTGATATGAATGAATTGAAGACAGTTGACTGAACTGAACCTTATTGATTATTAATTGGTGTCATTGACACCAGGGTATTGATCAGGCAGAAGGCACTAATCACCTGCCATACACACCGACACTGAGGGAACGCCTCCTGCTTTCTCTCTCTCACACACACACACACACACACACACGCGCGAACGGTGCTGCAGCAGCATCTGTTCAGCTGCAGCGCCCACTCATCTCCAACTCTCTAAACCTAAACCGAGACCAGCACCGGGACCGAATCCAGGTGCGAGTTTCTGTTACCAGGACGACGGCGGGTTCTGCAGCGTCTGCGAGAAACGTGACGCAAAGTGATCACCGATCTGAGGTACGTGCGTGCGTGAGCACATGTGTGTGCGCGCGTGAGGATCTGTGTGGGTGCATTTGTGTCGGAGCGCGCGTGTTTGCATCTGGTAATGTGTGTGTGTGTGTGTGTGTGTGTGTGTGTGTAATTAGAGAAAATTCCGCATCAGTGCGAAACAATCGGATACAGATTTGAGACTGACCGCAGTGTGTGTGTGTGTGTGTGTGTGTGTCTCAGGCTGATCAGGAGGAAAATCATGATGATGATGATGATGAACACTCCAGAAAAGATGAAGAAGAAACCAGTGAAGGACAGTCTGACTCTGTTACCATGTTTCTACTTTGTGGAGGTGAGCACACACACACACACACACACACACACACACACACACACACCCCCACACTAATACATTATCATACAGACATGAGACATACACAAACAGGAAGATTTTGTTATGGACATGTGTGTCAGTGTATATCTCTCTCTCTCTCTCTGTGTGTGTGTGTGTGTGTGTGTGTAGCTGCCCATCGTGGCATCCTCCATGGTGTCTCTGTACTTTCTGGAGCTGACAGACGTCCTGCAGCCGGCCCAGGTGGGGTTCCGGTGCCACGACCGTGACCTCAGTATGCCGTACGTGGACGGAGGCGACGAGCTGATCCCTCTGCTGATGTTACTCAGCCTGGCCTTCGCCGCTCCGGCTGCTTCGGTAACACGCCGTCACTGGGCCACACCCACACCTGCGAGTGTGGGCGAGGTCTGAGGAGCTGATGTGTGTTTGTGTCCTCCGTCAGATCATGGCGGTTGAAGGTGTGATCTACGTCCTTCAGTCCAGACTGAAGCTGAGGCGTCAGGAGGGCAGCATCAACGCCGGGGGCTGCAACTTCAACTCCTTCCTGAGGAGGACGGTGCGCTTCGTAGGTATGTCACCTCCTCCACCACCTCCACCTGAGACGCTTGCTTCACTTAGTACACCAAAACCCACACACACCAAGAGTAGACCTAACCCCCGACCTCCACATCCTCCTGGAGCACCTACTGACTACCCCTCCTACCCTCGCATCCTTTTACCTTTCAAACTCCGCCCATCAGGCGTGCACGTGTTTGGTCTGTGTGCGACTGCTCTGGTGACGGACATCATCCAGCTGTCGACAGGATACCACGCCCCCTTCTTCCTGACGGTCTGTAAACCCAACTACACCCAGGCCGGAGTGTCATGTGACCTGAACCCTTACATCACCAAAGACATCTGTTCTGGACAGGACCAGCACGCCATCGTGGCTGCCAGGTGAGTGTGCGTTCATGCGTGCACCGCACCCCCCCCCCCTTCTTCATCTCCCCTCTTTTTTTATTTCAACAGGAAAACGTTTCCGTCCCAACATGCAACTCTCTCCGCCTTTGCTGCGGTTTACGTGTCGGTGAGTAGACTTCTGCTGTGGCCCCGTTTGTGATGTCATCAGGTCCGTCTGTGATGTCATCGAGTAACCCCACCTACTGTCTGTATGTCCGGCCCAGATGTACTTTAACTCCACCATCTCAGACAGCACCAAGCTGCTCAAACCTGTCCTGGTGTTTGCCTTCGCCATCGCCGCGGCCCTGACAGGTCTGACCCAGATCACTCAGCACCGCAGTCACCCCATCGACGTGTACGCAGGATTTCTGATTGGAGCTTTCATCGCCACCTACCTTGTAAGACTAGAACCCAATGCACCACTTTTTACTCCTTTGAGAACCATTCAAACTAGTAGCAGTACCAGGAACTTCAAAAAGGTAGGCTGTTGTAAACCAGAACTATTTCGTTACTGGTTCTGGTTATGAGGCTTTGGTTCTATGGACCATGACTGGGCAGCTGGACCTCATGTTGAATATCCTTTTCTGGGCGAATGTGAATCTCTTTCCTATTTTTATTCCTTCAGGCATTTCATGCTGTGGCTAACTTCAAGTCCTCTGATGACATCACTCCACCCCCGCCCCCACTACCTCCCAAAGAAGACCCTCTCCGAGCGTTGACAGAGCGAGGTCATGAGTCAGTCTACAACAAGGGGCCGGCCTCTGCCTCAGAGAGCAACGATGAGATAGCTGCCGCTCCCGCGCCCATGGCCCCCTTGCAGAGGGAGGACGTTTCCATGGGCAGCCTGAAGAGGGCGAGCGTGGACGTGGAACTGTTGGCTCCACGCAGCCCCATGGGGAAGGAGACCATGTTGACCTTCAGCCACACCCTGCCCAGAGCCAGCATGAACGTCAATGGGTTCCCAGAAGATCCGGTCCAGTCCACGCAACCGGCCCAACTGGTGCAGCGTCGTCTGAAGGCCGTTCAGGTTCCGGTGGATCCAATGAGGTCCCAGCAGCTGGTGTCGGAGTGGAAGCAGAAGTCCATTGAAATTCGAGGTTTGAGTGTCCGTGACGAAGTGGAACAGGAAGTCAGTGAGGACGGTTCTGAGGGAGGTTCCGTAGTCACTGACGATGGTTCTCAAGCTCCCATTTACCAACCCACTGTACAGACCGGGAGGGCCACCGGCAGCCACAACCCTGCAGGGGGAGCCAAACCTGTGGCAACTCCTCGTCCACCACATATTCCTGAAGCCGGACCCCCACCTGTGTCCCCAAAGAGCGCCGTGACACGAGCCAAGTGGCTTGCCATCCGGGAGAAGGCCAGCGGTGAGGTGGCGACCCGTACTGCGGCCAACCAGCCGCGGCTCATGCAGGTCATTGCTCTGTCAAAGCAGCAGGGCCTGCTGCCCTCCTCCTCCTCTGAGACCACCTCCACCTGCTCAGCCGCCTCCTCTACCACCAACTCCCCCCACTATACCCCCGCCTCGGAGCAGCAGCGGGATGCCTCGAGCATTGTAACAGTGGACGCCCATGCTCCCCACCATCCTGTGGTCCCAAACCTGCCCCCCCCTCAGACAACGACCCTCGCAGGTAACGGGAACCCATGGGAGTGGGCAGGAGCGTCCAATGGGATGCGGGACTCACGGGACACCTACGACCTTAATATTCTCAACCGCGGAGACTCTGCCGCTTGCGGCAGCAGCTTTCGTCCACAACGATCTGCCTCACCACGTGTTGCTGTTGAATCAGAACCTGCTCCGCCCCCTCCTCACCCACAGGTGGAGACATCAGTTGATGCTAAGCACAGGGAAATGGCCATGAGACGCAAGACAGCCCTGGTTCTGCTGGATCGTAACCAGAGCGAGGAGAACTTCTACAACAGTTCACAAGGACGGAGGTTCAAGGAGAATTAGGCTTCTCATTATCGCAAGTGTCCAGTGTGTCCACCAGAGGGCAGCACATTTACAAGAACAAAATACTTTTTTCACACAGAAAACCTGATCCAACCTTGGTGATGGTTGTTGGTGGAGCTGAACCTTTGACCTTAGAACAGGACACCAGTGTAAATGTGGCCCAAAACAATCTGTGAAAAAATTAATGAAAGCACAAAGTCAAAGTGTGGACCAGACCGCACCGGACCGGACCTGACAAACCTGTCAGGAAGTAGACCGTGGAAGTCCAGGTAGTCCACTGGTGTCCTGGCTCTGACTCTTGATGTTATGGATGGACGTCATTGCCTTTTTGTGTGACCGTTGCTGTAGTGATAGTCAGCATGATGGTGTGTCTGTGTGCTACTCTGTGATTGGCCAAAGCTCCGCATTTATTTTTAATTAGATGAAATACTTGTTTTTGGAGAATTCTTTAAAAGTGTCTTTATATGGACCAATAGAATATCTGGTGCGACCCAGTGAGGGCATGTGTGTGGGTCAAATATGGTTCATATCTTTTCTTTGTCCACATTTGGGAGGGATTATAATAGAACTTATAGACCCATGTGGGGTGTATTTCTGGCCAACTGGTCTATTTCCACAGGACTCTCCTTCAAAATGAGTTTTTTTGCCCATGTCTAGGGTCCAAAGTGTGCCCTTTTCTTCAAAGTTGGCCCACATGTGGTATTTACTGGGGGTACAAAAGGTTAGTGCTGAATCCCTCCCCATTTCAGGATGGACCAGACACTATGGGCCACCAAATGGCCCCAAGCACAATTTCTGTACAATTACCTTGGATGTAGCCCATTGTTGTGACCTATATTTCATATCCACCTGCTTACATTTGGTACAGTATTTAAAACTTAATTTAAAACAGGGTCACCATGCTGGCCCACTATTGGCTACATGTTGTGGGCCTGAAAATATGTGTGTGCGTTTGATCTTGGCTGGGACGTGGCCCAGATGTGAGCGTGTTGGCGTCGTAGAATTCTTTGGATTAGAAATCTGATTCTTGAACATTGGGCTACAAGAACGTCAGGACTCCATCTTTGCTGAGATGTGGCCCACATTTTGGGCAGCTGCAAACCAATGTAGGCCAAATACTTTGTGAGACGCCATCGCTGATGTGAAAGCTGAGAATTGTTTTTATGAAGTTGTCATTTATTTTTAAAATGAGAAAAAAAATTAATATTTTAAGCATGAGGTTAAAATGATTTTGTTTGTGTGTGTGTGTGTGTGTGTCTTGTTGTTGCATGTCCTCAGTCCTGCTCTCTAACTTGAACATACATGTTTGTAGCTGGCTGTAAACACAGGTGTGTGTCGTCGTGACCTCCTACTGCATGCTGTGAAACCTACTGAGTCAGCATCAGTGCTTCAATAAAGTGCTGATCCGTGATGTGGCTGCTCCGCCTCTCTTACTTTGAGAACATTCAAAGAGTCATAAAGGTGAAGTCAGAGAGGTTATTTATTTCAACATCAAACCTACAGTGGTTTGAATGAGTTGATTTAATTGGTGAAATAAAAATTACTTTTACTTTGAAAAGTTAATTTCACTTTAATCACTCTTATTCATTGATTCACATATTTTACATAAACATTCACCACCTGTTAAAAACGCACCTGTTCATTGGTCGAGCTGACGTTTGACTGAACCACAGTTCTGGTCACTCTTCCACTTATAAAAATCTTGCTTTAAATCCCTGCTATTCTGGAACTGTTCCCACTTTTAGTTCTTCAATTAGTCCCAGGTCCAGCTCTAGATGTAGTCCAAGGCCTCAGTTTAGATCTAGTCCTGGTTCTCCATGTTAGCAAAAACACCAGCTTCCCAACGAAGAGCTCGTTGATTTTTATGTCGGAAGACTCGAGTCGACTGAATAACCTGTCACAGGAGAAAAAGAGCCAGGTGAGGTGAGTGAACAAAACTAGAACCGTCCCTGGTGAGGATTAGGTCTGTTTCACATCCACACTGAAAGCAGGAATAAAGGGTTAGCTTAGTGGCTAACGTGATTTAGTACCGACCCAGGATGAGGTTTTGTTAATTAAAGACTTTGAGTATTCAGTGACGTTTAGATTAAAGACTTGGGACAACAGAAATTATTAGCAAAGTTTAGTTAAGCATAAAGAGAATGAGTAAGTAGAAACAACTAGCTTAGCCTATGTAACATTTAGATTTGAATAGGTGGGGACAACTAATTATTGTTGAGTATAAAGATGGTGAAGGGCATCGGTTTCTGTTAACATCACGAGGATAACCATTTAGAAAGATTTAGTTTATGTTAGCTTAAAGACCAGGGGGAAATGGCAGCAGCTGATATTGTTAGCACACAGAGTTGTTAGCTAGTGTTGCTAACAAATGTTTGAGCAGGTGGTAACATTTAGCTTAAGTATTCTGACCTTATTGTTGACGTCGTCTATCATTTTAATTCCTGCGTACTGAAACAAATTCAAGTTGCATTATTACCTCACATTATAGTTAACTTTTAAAACTTCCACTGGTGAATACAGTATAAGTTACTGTATCTGCTCCATGCTGCTTCAGAACATGGGGAACAATGTTCCTGGGGTTTGAGCTGCAAACCTCAGGAGCCAATGAACATTGCTGGACAGCATCCTGTTTTCAACTTACCGAGGCTTCAGGCTGCTTCACTCTGGGCTGTCTGTGAGGGGGCGTGTCCAAAAGAAACGCTGTTGGCGAGGAGTCGGACAGAAGTTTTTCTAAAGGAAACAGGAAAGAGGATTATGGACTTTGTTCCGAGCTAAAATCACTGATTTTCTCTATGGACTTTGGTCTGAGGTTAAACTCAACTTCAAAATACAACTCACTGTTACCACAGGGTGGCGCTGCTGTAGATTATTCTTATCAGGGTTAGTATAGCTGGTGTTTCCTGGTAGACACATTCACTCACAGTCAGTCCTGACTCAGACTGTTTTAACTGACGTTGACCTCTTACCTCTGGTATCGCAGCTCATAAACAACGCTTTAAAGTTGGAAATGTCCCTTTAGTGTTGACTCCAGTGGAGCTGATAATTTACTTTTATGTCAGAGTTAATCTTTAAACTGCTGAAGCCGCTCTTTAGTCCTGAACCACAGTCTACCTCTGGGTAACCAACCAACCAAACAGAAACAGATCCATGAACCAATTAACTTACCACTCAACATTCACACCAACCCACTGACTGTTAACCAAGTAACTAACTAACTAACTAACTAACTAACTAACTAACCAGGTGGAGAGACCCACCATCACCCTAGCTGTTGTTACCTCCGTGTATGGGTGAGTAGAAAAGCCCTGCGGCCATCTTGGTTTCCCGGTACACCGTGGACGAGGACCGACTTCTCTCCCTGGACTCCCTCAACTCCTTCTCCCGTCTTAGCGCCTCCTTGATTTCCTTCTCTATGAAGTCTGGCGCCCCCTGTCCTGTGGACTGGAGACCAGAGGAATTCGGGTTTTCACTCCACCTGTGTGGCTTGTTGTGGGTCACGGAGGAACCAGAGGACCAGGGGAATGCTGAGGGGGTCTTGTCCACCTGGTGGAAAGGTCCAGCGTCTGTCACGGTGCCAGGAGACCAGAGAGGTCTTGGCTCAGTGGTGGACTCTCTGAGAACTGGGTGTCTATGAGGACAGCTTGGAGACAGGAGGTCGCCACCGTGGTCTCTGTCCTGAAGCTCAGTCTCACTCTTTCTTTCAGACTTCCTGTCATTTAGGGTCCAGATCCTGGTCTGCTCGGGTTCTGCTGCGTCCTGCTTCTGCTGCAGGATCTCTCTCTGGCCAACAGAGGTCACTCTGGTCCTGTCTTTGGTTTTAGTTGGTGTCCATGGTTGTAAACGTTTGATCTTGATCTCTATCATTTCATCCCTGCTGTCATTGGTCCTCAGACCACGAGACCGTCGGAGGTCCTCCTCACGTTCCTGGACTAGCCGGATCTCCCTTTCAATTGGAGTCTCAGGTGTGGTCTCGTCGTCACTGTTATCCCGTTCACTGTTGTCTTTGTAGGCGTTCACACCAGCAGCAAAGATGAGCTCCTCTGGACCTGAACCCTGTCCACTGAGACTCTCTTCAGTCTGGTCCTCAGATGTCCTCCCGTCGACCTCGTCTTCATCTTCTCCTACGGACCTGACCCTCTGGGCCACAACTCTCTGTGACATTAATACCTCGGACTCCAGAAGCCAAGGTGACCTCGGAGGTGGTTTTGAGGACCTCCTAGGGTCCAGGAGTGCGGCTACCTGATCCGGCTCCATCTGCAGGAACTGTTTTCTGGCTGCACTGAAGTTAATTTGCTCCTTGACAATGTCCCCAGGGTCCACAGGGGTGGGTGGGTCAGGTCTGACGGGTCTGACTGGACTGTAGCTCAGTTTGTTTGGAGATCTAGTCAAGTCCAGGTTCTCCAGAATCTGAAGCTCCTCTGTGAGAACCGGGTTCTTTTTTGGTGCTTGACTGCGAATGATCTCCTGCCGTAGCTGCTTCTCCTCCTCCTCCCCCACCACCTGGACCCTGTCCTGGTACACGGAGTCCTCTGGACCATCTGAGAACAGACTCTCAGGCTTCCTGCTGCTGGTGTACGTCCTCAGGGTAAAGCCACTCTCCTCCTTCAGGGTGAGCAGCTGAGCTCCTCTCTGGGGTGAGACCATCCAGGCCTGGTTCTGTTCTGCCTCAGGACTTGCTGGATCCTCCACAAAGGAGTAGAAGCCGGCGTGGGAGCCTGAGCTGCTGCTGCAGGGACTGCAGGGACTGCTGGGACTGCTGGGACTTTTCAATTCTTCATCAAACTCTGAAAAATGGTTCCCGTTGACAGGGACGCTGTTAAAGGACTGGACTGGGTCAGCCACAGAGGGTTCCTGTCTCCCGGGGGGACTGTGGATGGTCCTCAGGTCTGACGGCTGCAGCAGTGGAGACAGAGGCTTCAGCACCCATCGCCTCGGGATGCTGTCCATGGCTGTGGGGGGGGCTACGGGTTGGTGCTGGTGCATGAAGTGTCCAAGGACCTGAAAGATCCACCAGAGATGTGGGTCAGACCTAAACCTAACATAGTACTGAAGTGGAGATTCACAAAGGTCCTGGTAAAAGTTCTGATATCAGTATCATTATTGTTACATACGTATGAGAGATGGTTGCTATGGAACCAATGGAGCACGTGAATCTGTTTCCATGGAAACAACAAAGACCAGGCCGCTCCAGCTGTTTTTCATCAAAACTAGTGTTTGGGGTCGTTACCATGGAAATGGATGGATGGATGATGGAGTGTGCTTTTATCCTCTTCTCTTTAGCCTTATTTCTTTGAAGTATTTGTAAAATTATATTCAGCCAATCAGAAGCCAAAGCTAAAACCCAGACTTGAACGTGACATCCTCAGCCACCCTGGGTCTGGGACTGGGTGGAATTGAATCTGAAACCTCCTGCATGACAAACAGAAATCCTACCAACACTATCACTGTCCGACCTAACTGACCGACATGTGGGTCACCGTGTGGGCTACAGTCTACAGACAGGTCTGACAAAAGTCTAGACGGATGCACAGGAACATTAGAACTTTTAGAGAACCACACGATGCCTCACACAAATAACCAGGGTTCTGAAGTCACTCAGAGTCAGAGGGACTGTTGGTGTTTCCAGCTCGTCTGAGTCTGTCTGAGTCTGATAAGTGTGTGTCTGTGTGTGTGCTGGTCAGCTGATAACGCACACACAAACAGATCTCTCCTGAAACTGTCTCCAGTGCCACCTTCAGTACAAACTGCTCAACTACTGATGACCCCACGTCCACGTCTATGTGTACCAGTACTGCAGTTGTACCATGTGACCCAGGTGGGTCCATCAGCCTTATGACAAACTGTCAAACATTAATGTTCAGTGATAAAATAAATTCCTGACAGTAATCTTGGTTGATAATAATCCAAGATAATGAGCTGGAAAAAAGATGACAGGAAAAGTGGGCTGGGCCAAGTGTCTGAGTCCGCAGGTGAGAGATTGACAAAAGTGAAAGTGTCAAAAGACAAGATGAAAAGTGATGAGATGAAAATACAGAAGATCATCTTACCTGAGAGTCTGGAGAAAAATGGCAGGAAGTGTCAGTCTCTGTCTCACTGTCCCTGTGAGAATGTCCCTGTGAGAATGTCCCTGTGAGCATGTCCCTGTGAGCATGTCCCTGTGAGAATGTCCCTCTTAGAATGTCTCTCTAAGAATGTCCCTCTGAGAATGTCCCTGTCCCTCTCTGTCACTTTCTTTTAGTTTGTTGATCCTTTTCTCCCTCACTCTCTGTCTCTGTCTATCTCTCTCTCTCTCTCTCTCTCTCTCTGTCCGTGTGACCGTCTTTCTGCACCTACAGCAGGGACTAAAGTCACATCTGACAAAGTTCACCAATTTTCTGTCAAACCCTCTGTGGCTCCGCCCACTGGCTCTTCTTCATGTGACTCAGCGGTTTATGTCATGCTACGACCCTGTTTGTTTGTAACAACACAGCTTCATATCTTCTTCTCTTCCTGTTTGTATGGGAAAAAAATCATCTCAAATCTCAAATTGAATTATCTCACACAAAGTTAACATCGGCCTTTCTGAATTCAATATCAATTTAAACTTTTTACGTTTATTTTCTCTGTACCATACCACACATTGTAACAGAGAAACCCATTAAATGACATAACCTAGAATTAATTGACTTTCTTAACCTTACCAGATTTCAAACTTAAGTGAACATCACTCAAATGCATCTAATATTGTCAATTATTATTATTATTATTATGAAAGAAATAAATGTCATCTCAAGTTCTTACCAGCAGGTGGCAGTATGATGTGTCCACCGCTCACACTCAACCAAAAGTAAAGAATGCAAAGTAAGTAGGTATACGCTAATTGGCTGCTAAGAGGGCGTGCTTCTGTGACGTCTGTGAGAGAAACAAAGATGGCAGCGGTGACCAGAGGCTCGATGCTGGCTCTGAGGAGACTGGTGAGTCAATTGTCAAATGTAAATGTTCGTTATATTTTCAAATGTTGAGGTTGAACAGACACCGCTAACTGCGCTCCAACACTTTATCCGTGATGTCAGCCGGTGACTCGGTCAGCTTCCACGTAGCTCCGCCTCTGTCCTGAAGCTGACCTGACGCTAACGCTAAAGCTTCCTTGTTTGTTCCTTGGATTATAGACTGGTTGTAGAAAAGTACACCAGACAACTGTCTGTTTTATATGAGATGCTTAGTACTTAAGGTAATTCCGTTTATCTGGACGAAACTTGAGGTAACTTCAGCTGTGCTAACTGAGCTTCAGTTGTTGGTTAGCTTCACTGCTGCACATGTATTTATAGTTGGCTGATTTTAAGCGCCAGATAATTCCGTATTTGATATAAAAATGATAACTTTTTTTAAATCTTCATTTTTCATTTCAATATATTCCATTTTGTAGTTTATTCTACAGATTTAGTGCAAACTGAAGCAGTGTCTCTGTCACAGGAAGCTTGTGATGCCAGTTTCTCCACAGCAGTACTCAAACCCAAGCATTTACCTCGTATCAACTGTAAAAAAGATTATTCATCAGACCAAGGCCCACTGTACCACAAAGTAGTACTACAACTGGTGCTAAATTCAACTAGTCTAGCGGGTCACCAAGTATCACCTTGTACCAACATGTAGAAATAAAATGTAAATGTAACTACTTCATAACGTATTGATAAATGTGTCTGCAGTTGATTATTATTTATTGAAGTTACAAATATAACACATTGCTGTGTAATACAAAAATAATTTCAGGTTAATTCAGCAGCATGGACTTTATTATATGGGCAATGCTTTTTAAGCTCCTGTGGGGCTTATTATATGGGCAATGCTTTTTAAGCTCTTGTTGGGCCACATTTGGCCCACGGGCCTTGAGTTTGACAAATGTGCATTACTTTATCTGTCTGCACCAGTAGTTTTGATCAAAGTCTTTGTGTGTAAGACAGATGTAGGATTGATGCTAGCTTCATTATAATTGCCATAGCTTCAGGTCAACTCTGTCAGCTGGCATTTCCTTTTAATTACTGCCCTGGGGTAATGATTTCTTTAGCTAAAGCCAATCCATGTTGTATTTGACTGTTCAATTAGTTTCCATCTGTATCTCTGACACTGCTGCTCCCTCCCTCCCTTTCTCTACCTCTCTCCTCCTCTCAGCTGACCCATCAATATCGAGGGAGATGCTTTCGCCTTCAAGGCTTCAGGTCAGAGCGTCACCTGCTGCCACTCACGCTCACCACCAACGGCAGACATCTGCAATGGCTGAATCACAGGACGCTGCACACCAGTACGAGTGAGTCACAGCTCCCTCTTCAGTCTGAATTGTTGAACAACACGAAGCTGTTACTCTGCTAACATACAGTAGGTGGAGCTGAAGCTGAAGAAAATGTGATGCTCAATGAGATACGTTAAAGGTGTCACAGCATCTATACTGTTACATTTCTATATTATATTATGTTTTGTATTTTAAAAATATAAATATATCCTGTGCTATTGGATCGAAGATGATGATAGTGAAGGTGATAATGGTGGTGATGACTTTTGTGCACTATGTCACTGAGTGATTCATCAAACATCATTATGTTGCTGTGTGATGTCACTGATGTTGACCTCACCTAAGGTGATGATGATATCACAGGTGATATCACATATCATCACAGTTTTTTTCTGTCCTTCAGTGATTGGAGGACCGATTGTCCAGTTCAAACTGTCCGACATCGGAGAAGGAATCATGGAGGTGACAGTGAAGGAGTGGTACGTTCTGACATCACTTGACCTCCACCTGGGTTTGTTGGGTGTCGGACTGTTGTTGTTTTTATCACCATGGTCAGAACATCGGTAACAAAGACCGACAGTTGGTCCACTGGTTTCACTCCAGCCTTTTTCATCTGGATTCAGTTTGGTCGAGGTTTTGATCACAGTCCTGTTTGTTGTGGTTCAGGTACGTGAAGGAGGGGGACAGAGTGTCTCAGTTTGACAGTATCTGTGAGGTCCAGAGCGACAAAGCCTCCGTCACCATCACCAGCCGGTACGACGGTGTCATCAGGAAACTCTACTACGATGTTGACGCCACGGCCCTCGTTGGGAAGGCTCTGGTAGACATCGAGACCGAGTCCAGTTCTGGTGAGTGTGTGCTGACCCAGTTCTGTTTTTTCTCTCAAACCTGAGTTGGGGTGATCTGATCCTCACTTGTATGTTTTGGTTTCAGAGATCATTCAGGAAGAGGACGTGGTGGAGACGCCCGCCATGGCTCGAGAAGAACACACCCATCAGGAGATCAAGGGCCACAAGACCCAGGCCACACCTGCTGTCCGAAGGCTGGCCATGGAGAACAATGTAGGTTCTGAAGGGGAATTTTGTCTGGAACTGATCATTGTTTGTGTAAGGCCTCATGTGCTAACGGGTACAGTAACAGTACAAATGCAGTACTTAATACTTCAATCTTCAGATGTTTTTCTGCAGGTTTCTGTGGGATGATGGATAAAAGTCACAGGTTCTCGACCTCATCGACGGTCCAAACAATTCCAGTTCTGCTTTCTCGACAGCTTTGTCTTCTGTGTTCCAGATAAAGCTCAGTGAAGTTGTGGGAACAGGCAGAGATGGACGCATTCTGAAGGAGGACATCCTCAACTTCCTGGCCAGACAGACGGGCGCCATTTTACCTCCAACCCCAGTCCAGGAGATTCAAATTCCAGGTCCAGCTCAAGTGTCCGCTGGCGCCCATGCCACCAGGCCTGTCAGCACACCCGCACTGGCCAAAGCCCCGCCCACAACCCCTAGGCCTGTCTTCTCCGGAAAGGACATCACTGAGCCCCTCAAAGGTCAAAGGTTTTCCCAGAAGCACTAGTTCTCTGGTCCAGCCAGATCTGGAAAAGTCAGAGTTGTTCAGACACATGTGACCCAAAAAAATGTGGTTCACATGGGCAGAAAAGTCAGACTTTGTTAATGTAGTCTCCAAGGCTAACCTAATGGAAAAAGTTAATATTCAGAAAATACCACTAGGGGGAGCCCACATACCACAGTTTGAGAACCCAGGTGTAGACGGTTCTGTCCAGTCTGATTAGCTGTGTCTTCTGAAGTCTTGCGTCCAGATGACCAGATCCTGTTTTCACAGGGTTCCACAAGGCCATGGTGAAGACCATGACGGCTGCTCTGAAGATTCCTCACTTTGGTTACTGTGATGAAGTGGACCTGACCCGGCTGGTGGCCCTGAGGGCAGAGCTCAAACCTGTGGCTGAAGCTCGAGGAGTCCGACTGAGCTTCATGCCCTTCTTCATTAAGGTAGACCAGAACCCCACTGTCCAGGTGTTCTCATGACCTGATTGGTTCCAGCTGATTCTGAACTCTCATTGGCTCAGGCTGCCTCCCTCGGTCTGCTTCACTTCCCCATCCTGAATGCGTCGGTGGATGAAGGCGTCCAGAACATCACCTACAAGGTAAGAACCATGGGTTCAGATCCAGATTCTCTGGCATGGACTTCCAGGCTCTTGGTTGGTTTTCTGGTCCAGAACAGGTCCTCCATCATGTCCTCTAGTTCACATTCTGGTTCATCAGTCTAAAGACGAATCGTTAGAAGAATAATCCTTAGTGGCAGTGATGCAGCCAACCAATCAGCATTCAGCTCTGGCAGAACTGATGTACGATGTGATTTTGTTGGTCTGTTCTCAGGCGTCTCATAACATCGGTCTGGCCATGGACACCAGTCTGGGTCTGCTGGTTCCTAATGTGAAGAACGTGCAGCTGCTCAGTGTCTTTGAGATCGCCCAGGAGTTGAACCGTCTGCAGGTTCTGGGGTCACAGGGTCAGCTTGGAACCAATGAGCTGACCGGTGGAACCTTCACTCTGTCCAACATTGGCTCAGTGAGTACAGACCACGCCCTCTCCAGCCGTGCTCCACCCACTCCCATCCCTGACCCTGTTCTCTTCTCCTCAGATTGGTGGCACGTATGCCAAACCTGTCATCCTTCCTCCAGAGGTTGCTATTGGAGCTCTTGGAAAAACCCTGGTGAGGTCCACCTGTCCAACACTGGAGCTGACCATGGTGACTCCACACTCCAGTCAGGTTTAATGACTTCCTGTTTGTGTCCAGGTTCTTCCCCGGTTTGCTGCTGATGGTCAGGTGGTCCCAGCACACATCATGAAGGTCAGCTGGTCTGCAGACCATCGCATCATTGACGGTGCTACCATGTGTCGCTTCTCTAACATGTGGAAAGAGTACCTGGAGAACCCAGCCCACATGGTTCTGGACCTGAAATAAACCTTTCCCATCAGCCCAGGGGACGATACCACACTACGACCTAAACCTCTTCCTGCCGACTCTTGACTCGGCGTTCTCTCATCACGAGGCCTTTTCCACTAGCTGTTACCGGGGGTGGGGCTTAGGTCTATCATGTTTTATAATGACCAACCACACGCACCGGATTAGTCTTTACATAAAATGTTTAATCTGACATCGAAGGGTGGTTATCAAAACCAGGACCAGACTGGTACTAGTTCTTTATTGGTCTGTCCACATTTACACTACAGTTAGCTTCACTTTAGCATGGTTTGGATTCAGGACGGTTTACTAACATTTTTTCCAGGTGCCGCTGCTCCAGGTTAATATTGTCTCATGTTTGTCATTCTACAGTCAACATGGGGCGGTGAGTTCCCGAAAGACTTCTGGTTCATTCAGAAACTTTAACTCAGCTTTGAAGAATGTAGCTTCTGTGGTCACTCCACATATGATGAATCATCTAGCTGTTAGTATTGCAAACAGTTACTGTTACACTACTGCCATTTCTGTCAAGAACATGTACAACTGTTAGCTTCTACTAGTACAGTTAAGAGTTGCTTTTTCAGAAGGCCTGTTAGCATAGGCTAAAGTTACTGTTGGCACCTTCTGAGAGGAGTCCAGTTAGAAGTGTAGCTACTGTCGGCGTCAGTGTAACATTATAATTAGGTCTTGGTTCACGTAGAGAAGTCATTTATGGCTAAAAGCGTAGCTTAAGACTATTTCTGTTAGCCACTACACATAATAGAATCCATTAGCAACAGTTCTAACAGGAGCTCACTGTTGTTGGTGTTAAATATTAGGCTACTGTGAAAACGCTAACAGACTTAGAAGTTGACTTTAGTTCAGCTGCCTAAATCCAAAACCAAAACTGCTGATGTCAGTGTTTATTGTCACAGCTGAATAGTCTGCCCCTGGTGGTGATGTCAGGAACTCATGGATTGTCTGCCTTTACCTTTAGACCTTCTGGAAAGTTCCAGAAAAGTGTTTTTTAACCTCATGTTTTTTTTTTTATTTTTGTTTTTTTTTTTTTTTTGGTGCTTTTTTTTTTCTTGGTGTATGCCCTTGGTTGATCCCCTGGTGGACATGAGCGTCTCTCTCTCTCTCTCTGTCTCTGAACAATGGACGTCTCCTGTCCTGGACCTCCTCAGTCGTGTCGTCTGTTACATTTGTGGGTTTTGTTTTGTTTTGTTTGTTTGGGTTTTAACCGATGGAACTATTGGATTAACAAATATTGTCAATAAAAGAAAATTATGTAGAAAATGTGCTGATTAATGTGTGTCCTGTAGAGGGCAGTAGAGGATCTCATACAGTCACATTGTCAGGTGACATGAGAGTTAAAATTAGCCTCCACAGTAGGTCAGAGGTCATCCTTCAGCTGTGTCCCCCCATGGAGAACGTCCCCTGGAACTGTTGGTACCATTTCTGCTTTTAGCACTGTTTATTTACTCACTTCAGCAGATACCAATACTACTACTGCGACCACCGTAAGAACTGCTGCTACTACCTTTGATATTGCTGTTACTATAGTGTTGTACAACTGATACTCCTGCCTCACTCCTATTTTGGTACTGCTCATACATCGTAGTACTGCAGCTGCTACTACTGTTGGTGACAATCATCGTAGTACTGTGGCTGCTATTACGGTTGGTCACATTGGTACTACAAATGTAAATATTACTGCATGTTTGAATGAGTGTCAGTACCATCTGTACAGCTATTGTGTTAGTACTACTGTTGGTACCATTAGTATAACTGTTATTGTTACTGCTAATGTGCCAAAGTATTTAACTCCCCCCCCCCCCCCCTTTTTTTTTTTTTTTTTAACCCCCCCCCCCCCCATTATTAATGTTCATTTTCTGTGAGTAATTATTGTACTACTACTAACACTACTACTGCTACCACGGTCGTGTTTCTGCTACAACAGCTTTTCCATTGTTTGTAATTAAAACTCTGTGAACTACTGTCAATACTACTGTTTGTACCACTGTCAGGACTGCCAGCAGTACCCTGGTTGACTGTCAACACTTTCCTGTCTTCATCTGCGCTGTGACATCATCATGGCTGTCGTGGTGGGTGTGGTCAACTCCGTTAAAGCTCTGTGGGAGGGAAGGATCAGACAGAGGAAGGAGGAGCAGAAGGAGCAGGAGGAGTTGAGAAAGAGGAGGAAGGAGCGGTCAGGCTTCACTACACTCATATTCAAGGTAACAAGGTCTCGGCCTGTGACCCCGTCCTGACCTCTGGTCTCTGGTCCAGACTGTGTGTCCAGGTGTGGGAGGATCGCGTGACTCTCGCACGACTCAAAGAGAAGCTATCTACCGAAGACGGACGACTGATCCTGCGCATTGAGCAGGAGGAGTGGAGGGTCAGTGGGTCAGTGGGTTTTGGTCTGGGTTCTGTACCATCTGTATCTGTCGTTCAACAGTTCTTCTAAAATGGTTCTGGATCTCTTTCAGACTCTGCCGGCTTGTCTGGTCCAGTTGAATCAGGTCCAGGAGTGGCAGATACATAGGACCGGGCTGCAAAAAATTCCTCACTTTATCTCCAGATTCCAGAATCTTCTGGTGCTTGATCTGTCCCGCAATGGTGTCACTGAGATCGCTGAACAGATTGGTCAGTCCGCCCAGACCAGTCAGCTGGTCCTCCCTAAGACCCGAATAAAGCTCAGTTCCTAAACATTGGACTGGGCCTTCTGTGTTTTTGTTCCTCAGTAACAGACCCTGGACTGGGTCCAGGGTCTGTTACTGACTTGTGCTCCTGGTTCTGGTCTCAGGGATGCTGACCAACCTGAGAGAGCTGCTGCTGAGCTACAACAGAATCCAGAAGGTTCCTGAGCAGCTGGGTTGTTGTCAGAGTCTCCAAAGACTGGAACTGGCCATGAATCGGGACCTGGAGCAGCTGCCCGACCAGGTACGACCCAAACCTGAACCGGGTCAGACTAGACTTTTGCTCTGCTGACCTCTGCTTTCTTCTTTCTTTAGTTGAGGAACCTGAAGAACCTGCAGCACCTGGACCTGTCCATGAACCACTTCACCGTCTTGCCCGACTGTGTCGTTGGGCTGCCGGCCCTGGAGTGGCTGGACATGGGGGGGAACCAGCTGGAGCAGCTGCCCCAGGACATCCAGAGGTGGGTGACGTGATTGGACCACAGCCCTGAACCATCTCGAACAGGCATGGGCAAACTATGACCTATATAATTTATTTATATTACCATTATACATCTGCCTTTCCCTGCAATACCCTTGTTTCCCCAATAAATGCCCAATAATGCCAAGTTATATTTGGACACTTTAAACCTCCATTTCTATATAGTAGGTGTAATAAGAACAGTCCAATTCTAACTTTATTGTTTTGCCATATGATACTAATAAATAACTACTTTATTTTCTTGAAAAAGTCATCAAGTGGAGCTAATGGAATATTCCAGAATAAATGCAGTATCTTAGGGAGTATGTTCATTTTTATAATGTTGATTCTACCAATCAGGGAGAAAGGCAGGGACGTCCATCTATTAATTATCTATTAATTCTGTTATTCCTTTTGTTAATGGTTCATAATTACAGTTAACAATTTGAGTTAATTCAGACCTAATTTCTATTCCCAAGTTTGTGAGTTGATCTACTAGTATCAAAACTAAATAGAATATGTTCTGTTAATAAAACCCAACACTTCTTTATCACCCTCAATCCTAAACCAGGATTAAACATAACATTTGAATTTCAATGACCGTAGCCTTTTACTTTACATCTGAACAGATGTAAATGATGAAGTTTAGTTTAATCATTTTTTGTGTTGTTACTCTTGTTACTGTTACTTCCATCTTCCTCTTGGATCTTGTTGATGAATTCCTGTCCTCTGTCAACATGTTGAAGACATGTGTCTTATCCCTGTAAGTTACCCTCAGTTCTGTTGGGGGTATTATGCGTCGTAAGTGTGGGCGCACTGTATTGTATTTTCCCTGTTGTCCGTGCACTTCAGTTGCCAGTTGCTTGTAGAATCAGATGTGTTGGTTTGACATGTCTGTGTCCAGGATGGAGAAGCTGCACACACTGTGGCTGCAGAGGAACCACCTGGAAACCCTTCCAGAGAACATCTGCAGGATGACAAATCTGGAAACCCTGGTCGTCAGCGGCAACCGACTGAAAGACATCCCAGCTGTGATGGAGGACATGTCCAACCTCAGGTCAGTGTCTTCACAAAAACACACACACAGGTGGAGGGGTGTCCACCCGAGTGTCCAGGGTATCGCCATCCACCTCTGGTTTTTGTTTGTCCTTGTCCATCTTCACCTTCGCCTCCACATGTCCTCAGTCTCCCTCGTCTCAGATCTTTGTCTCTTTTTTGGGGCAGGTTTGTGAATTTCCGGGACAACCCTCTGACCCTGGATGTGAAATTTGAGCGAGGGATGAAGACAGAGAAGGAGGAGGTGGATGAGGAGGAGGAGGAGGAGGAGCAGGAGATGTTTGGACTGGAGTTCATGATGTTCTACATCCAAGAGTGCAAAAGGAAGCCCCCCCCCCCTGCTCAGCTCATAGTTTAACACATCAGCTAACTTGACATGCTATATGATGGCAGAGACCCCCCACCTCTTACATGCATCCTCTGAGAGACATTAAGCAGGACCAGCAGAACCTCCCAGTGTGTGGTGCAGAAGTCGGGCTGTCCTGTTTGTACTATATTTTTGTATTTGGTCGTTATTTGCTGCCATGTCCTTTTCATTCCTGTTGGGTTAAACCTGGATTAACATTTAAAACAGTCAGGTGTGGACACACAGAGGTGGGAGAGAAATCACAGAGATATATATTAATCATTTTACACACTCAGGCTGAACAGTTAAGTGTAATCTATTTGTTGCCAAGCCTTCCCTTTGGCAGCTGTAACAGTGTTGTCCTTCTTATTTCTAACAGGGTAGCCTAATCCTTATTGTCACTCAAAAGGGTTTCTTGATCCAGAGGAGAGAAGCAGAACATCCCTTTTTTTTTTTCCAGATGACCTGGTTCGTGTTATCTGCCTTTATAACTAGTCAGGCACGAGCGCTACTCAGACTTAACTCAACTCAGGCTAACTGAGCTAATTGTAATCAGCTGTTGTGAAACCGGAAAGTCAGAGTTGGACCTCTCTAGCTTACGGTAGCCAGAGCTGTGACTTTAGCTCAGTGTTTCATGAGCCCGCCTTAAGAATCCCCCAGACCTGACCCCTGACTTGATCTTTGAACCCACTTTGACCTGACACTGTGACCTTGTGACCAGATGTAGATCCTGCAGTGATTTGACCTTTGACCTACTGCCACTAAACCTCAGAGAGATCAATAATGATTATTAATTATAGACTTCCTATATTGTCCCACAATAGGGAAATTCACTGTGTAAGTCCTTGCAACTAACACAGGCTGCCACAGGAGGAGCCGTTAGGAGGAGGCTGTTTCTTTGGGAATTGAACCCAGGACTGCTCTCTGCCACTACACTATGGAACCACAAGTAACCTTGAACTGACCTTTTGCCTGACTCTAACCTCAAATTCACAACAATGACCTTACCTATGCCCAGTCCTGACCGTGACCCCACTGGTGACAGTAAGAGACGGTGAATTAAAATGTTTTAATAAAAAAAGTTGAATTATATACAAAGTCCAAATCACTGAGTTACAGTGGGTGGTTATGCTTGTGGGTGGAGTCAGGGTGATGCAGCTACAGCTGTCAGCAGCACATTCTCCAGCGTGACCTGAGGGTCAGCGTATCGCCTCAGTTTTCCTTCAAAACCTTTGGTTTTCAGGAAGTGAAGTCGTCCGGCGTCGATGAGTTCTTTACACCGACGACCCATTTGTTCTCGTTCTGCTGCCGACAGAAACCTGCAGAGAAAAGATCTGACCAAGTCACTTCCCTCATCCAACACAAACAGAACAACAGTCTGGGCTCAAACGTGTCCTAGAGGTCAAATGTCATAATTACCCACTCACTGAGTCCCTTTCCTCTGCAGCTTCATGACCTTCATCCTGATTGGTCAACCTCAGGCCACATGTTGCCCAACTACTCATTCGACAGAAGGCAGAGAACTCCATCTCTCCGAGTCCTTGCTTGAGGAAGAACTCCTGTCCGACATAGTGACGCCACTCACAGCGATGGTGACAGCACAGTGCCACCGCCAGGCCCAGGACAGACCCACAGCCGGGGTCCATGGTTCTCATGCGTTTGTGCCGTGGTTCTGACTCTTCTTCATGACCTGGTCTTTCCAACAAACACCGCAGAGCTAGATCTGGGGACAGAAACAGTTCGGTTAGTGTTGGACCAGAACCGGCCGAAGCCACATTGACCACCAGGGGTTTTTTTTTCTCACCTGTTGCTGCTCCACACAGGTGTTTCCCAACTCCAACCAACGGGAGTTTCTTTGTTTGGAGCAGAGGAACTTTACCTGGAATCGTTCAGAGTCAGGTTAGTGGATTTTCTTGGACCTCAGATCCAGATCCTCAGTGTTTGTTCCATCAGAACCTTGTTTCTTACTTAGGTCCAGGTGTTGGATGTCAACCTGCAGCCTCTCAAACTCAACTCCCACATCCTGATGTTTACCATCCACCTGGAGAACACAGATCAAAGGAGACCCAGGTTCTGAGTACTGAGACTCTGGACCCAAAGGAAGTACAGTGAAAAGTTCCAAAGTCAGAACTTTTGAACAGAGATGTTTGAGGTCTAGATGGTTTTGGAACAACAGGGACACTTCCCTGCCAACATGTGGACTATGGAGTCAGGGTTCATGGACCTCAGGAGCCACAGATCCTTTACCTTGAAGCGGGTGCTGCAGCGCTCCACCAGCAGCAGCTGCAGATCTTGGCTAGTCTTCAGGGCCTCGTGGATCCAGTGCGACAATTTCCCTCGACCTGCTCCGAACTCAACAAAGCACCGCCCCCCCTCCAGAAGACCCAGGTCCTGCAGGTGCCCTAAAATAGAGGACTGTAAACATCTGACAGGTCAGGTCCGACCCTGTCTGAGATGGTTCCAGGTCAGTCAAGGTGGTTCTGGTTCCGTGGTTTTTCTGCCATACCTGTTGTTTCAGGTGTTTGTGGGCAGAGTCTCCATTCTTTGGGTTGCTGAGTTCTACCTGGAGGACAGGGTGGGACAGGACACCGTCCTCCACATTACAATCCAGCCCTAAGGCAACAGAAGGATCAGGATCAGGACTAAAGTAAAACCTGAATAAGGTCCAGGAGGAGTGTCAGCTCACCTGTGACTGCTGCCTTCAGCTGGTCCACCAGGGACTGGAGTTCAGTTCTGCTGCGCTCACACAGGCTCACCTGTACCACCATTAGCATTAGCAGCATTAGCCCTTTAAACACTGTAATTTAGATATTTTTATCATTTTAATCTTTTTTGGCCAATTTTTTTAATTTGCAATAGTCTTGTGGCTAACTATACTGTTGGTCGACACTGGAGGAAAATGGAGAATCATGATGCCGATGAATCATGATGCCGATGATAAAACAACAAAAATGTATGACACTGTTAAGACTACAGTAAAATACTATATATATATATATATATGTATATATATATATATATAGTAGCTAATGGTTAGCCAAACACAGCATCAGGTCAACAAAACGATACTGCTGCAGAGGTAGCTCGATAGAGTTAGCTAGCTAGAGCTAAAGTAGTAGTTATTGTTGGAGTAGTTCAATAGCTCAACAAAATTTGTTTTAAAAATTTGTTTTATGCTAAATACAGCTACAAATTAGCCATATATAGATAAACAAACAGCCACAGAGGCTAACAATTAACCAATGGTAAAAGCCAAGGTCTGTGGTTGGAATCTGCTTTTCACCTGCTCCTGAGGTTCTGCTCCACCAGACGAGCCAGCATTGATGTTCTCCACATAATAAACCTGGAGAACATGGAGAGAGGTGCATAAACATCAACCATGGATATGTGGACCTTCTGAGGTTCTGAGTCACTCACGGGTTTGTCCTTCTCTCTGGAGTTGCACTTCTTCAGGTGGTTCTCTAGTTTGTTCTCACTCACGGTGCTGCAGACACAAACAAGTTTAGGTTCTTTAGGCTCAGATTATCAGAGGGACTTCACTGACTGCTGTGATTGGTCACTGACTGTTTAGGGTCCAGAGGACAGACAATCCTCCTGCTGCCGTCAACACTCTCTCCTTCCTTCAAAACAGTGAACAGGAAATGATGAAACAAACAGGAAATGACCTCTGGTATTGACAGAGTTCCATCCAGAGAGCTTGGCGTTCAATCAGTGTTGACAATTAGATCTGATCTTTGAATCAGGTCAAGTTATGGAGTTTGTCCTGGACCCAGTTGTAGTGGACACAGTTTTAGGTCAAGTGTAGTTGGTTTTACAGAGTCAGTGTTGTTCTAGTCCAGATGTGTTCTGGTTTCAAATTAATGTCATGTCCAACCTTTTTAAAATGCAACACTGTGGAAATTCAGTTTAAGGTTCCGTCTTGTGTTTTTGCTCTTGATTAACTCGGTTGCATTTCGTTCACATGTCCAATACATTTAAAGAACGTAAAAGAACACATTAATTGATCACTGTAACAATGACGCCCCCCTCTGGTGCAACTGGAAATCATTCATTATGCATTCACTGTCGTGCTGTTGCTGGTGTTTCATTCATAGCTAAACCAATGTCGTTTGGAAACACGGGGACACGTTTGTATTTCCGTTTCGCACAAAAAATACCAAACCCTGTGAAAAAAGCTTCACTGCGTTTGTCTACATGAACTCACCATGTCCGCGTGTTCCCCACAGAACTTTTTCCCTTTGCCGACGATCATTTTACAGAAACGCTTCTTTTTCTCCACGAAAAACGCACACCTTCCTGGCAACGGGGCCGCCATGTTGGACGCAGCGTGCTGCATTTGGATGGTCGAAATACTGTAATTTAGTTAGTTATCAAACACAATACCCAGACAATAATACAAAAATAAGTTTAATTGTTAAACAGACAAGAAGACACGCTGTCGTTCCGCCTAAACTTTTTATTTTATTTCCTCCGCACTCGAAACTTACTTTGGTTGTTGATTGGCTGCTGTACTCACGGTTCTGTACTTCTATTAGTATTCTACAACGTCACTCAATGCAAATATCCCGCCTCTCACCGGCGGGTCCCGCCCAGTGAGCTACCACGTGACGTCACCACAGGTCTGTTCACAACTCATGATGGCGGAGCGGAGCGGTCCCGGTTCTTTTCCCGGATCCTGTGGGTCTGCAGCAGCATCGACAGGGGCAGCTCACTCGGTGCTGGTGGTGGTAGGAGTGCTCCGGGGACCTGGGCTGTTAGAGAGACTTCTGCAACAAATCGACACGGGTGAGAGCGGTGATGGTGACCGGCGCGGAGAACCAGGGGCAGGGGAGTCACCGCTACTGCGGTCCACAGGGCGAGAGGGAAGTCTGCAGGCCTTTCACAATAAAACTTAGCAGGAGTTGATGATGCTTCCGAATGAAGTTATCCCCGTTGTCCTTGGTCCACGGTGCCGCTGCTAAACTTCTCTTAAGTCCGTAAAACTTTTGTTAAAGTTCGTCAAAGTCCGCTACAAACGTTCAAAGTTGAGTTTAAATCACTTCCTGCATTGAAACGGTGTCATGTGGCGAAGACAGCCCGGACCTAACGGTCTCTGGTTCCTCCTTTCTTCAGCTCTCCGAACACACGACAATATCACGAAAACTTTTTGTTTATTTTTATAAATTTGTTTAAATCTCCGACGGAGTTTCATTTATGTCCGTCTTTCAGTGTCGGACTGTCATAAACAGAGGAACAAGGTCCTTTTTTGTGGCGTTTATCTCTGTGCTTTTAACAACAACAACAACGACGTTTTCATTATTGTCTGAGTTAAAGTTCTAGAACAGCCCAGGCCCTGGTCTGGAGTCTGGAACTTTAGCTCAGACTAAAGACATTTATATAGTGGATTTAAATTAATCGTTTTAACCAATGTTTACAAGAATCTTTTAACCCTTCATAATTTCACCATATTTTTGACCAGCAGTTAAAACTTATGAAATGTTTTTGTTGGCCAAAGACCCAACCCAAACTGATCTGGACTTGTGATGTGTGTCGGTCTCTCAGGTCTACGTTGTTGGTCTGTGGACCTGGATGTCTCTGTTCTGGATCAGCAGCTGAAACTGTTTGTGTCTCGTCACTCTGCCTTTCTGTCAGAAGATGTCAGCGGTAAACACACACACACACACACACACACACACACACACACACACACACACTGGTCATCTGACCTTCAGAAGTCACACAGATGTTTCATCATTCGTCACACAAACACAGGCATGAAGAGTTACACACCACTGTTGTGTGTGTGTGTGTGTGTGTGTGTCCACGGTCATTATCCACAGCTAACAGTTAGACATAAACATCATTATCAGGTCTCCACAGAAAATAATTATTCTTTAGATTTGAGCTGTTTGTGTTTTTATCAGTTCTTGTGCTGTCTGCTAATGTGCTAACTCTGTGCTAACATTAACTGTGCTTAAGGTTGAGTTAACTCTCATCTTAACAGTACAGTGGTGCTTCAGATATATTGAAATACGTCCACACCGCAGACATGTTGGTACTTTTGGACATGCCCGCACTGGCCGCTGGTTTTTGCTTGAGTCATCATAACTTCCTGTTTCGGCTGGGTTGTTTTTGTATTTGGTATATGTATGTATATGTATTTTTAAATTGACCAATCAGAATTTTGGTTGACAGTGAGTCAGAGAGACAGACCACTGACAGTGGGCCAGTAAAGAACCACAGTCGTCACCCTTAGGTCCAGGGACCGACACTCAGTACTTCCTGATCAGCTGAGGTTCTTTCTCTGCAGGTCAGAGGATCCTGTGTCACCGAGGTGAAATCTTGGACACACAGGTCCTGGTGAATCCGGTTCAGACCTTTGCCTGCTCTGAGGTTAGAACAGATTTGAAGCTTTGTCTCCTGAACACTAACAGACCTGCCTCTGCATAAAAACGTGTCTGTGTGTGTTCAGGTGCGGCGGCTGCTCTGCTCCTGGTCTCGTCACAAACTGCTGGTTCTGGCGGGTCAGTGCGTGGAAGAGAGCGGCGACGTCCTCTTCCAGAAAGGCTGCTTCTCGCTAAATGACTTTGTTAGCGTGCTGACTGATGATGAGGTGGGACGTCACCCCACCCTCTGGTCTGTGCTGTCTCTCTGTCTTGTCTCCGTCCATCAGTGAATGACTTGTGTCTGTCGTCCTTCAGGTCACAGAGTCGTTAAGATCAGCTGATCGCTCAGAGAGGGTCAGTCTGACCATCAGCTGTCCGCATTACGGTCTTTGGAAAGACCCGTGTTTGGAGAAACAAAACTTTCAGGACATTATTGACCTGAGAATCAACCCCCCCACCATCCTCCCACAGATGGAGGGTCTGCAGGAGTTCACGGAGTATCTCTCAGAGTCGCTGGAGCCCCAGTCACCATTCGATCTTCTCGAGCCACCGAGCACCGTGGGATTTTTGAAACTCTCACGACCCTGTTGCTACGTTTTCCCTGGTGGGAAAGGTGACTCCTCCTTCTTTGCTGTGAATGGTTTTAATGTTCTGGTAAACGGTGGCTCTGACCCACGCTCCTGCTTTTGGAAATTGGTCCGACACCTGGACAGAATCGACTCCGTGCTCCTGACCCACGTTGGCGTGGACAATCTTCCTGGTATAAACAGTCTACTTGTCAGGAAAGTAGCCGAGCAGGAAGATGATTCCGGCACTCAGACGGAAGAGGACTGGACCAGGAACCTTATCTCCCCGGAAATTGGCGTGGTTTTCTTCAATGCTCCCGAAAGACTGAAATCCACTCAGGGAGATCCCAGTGAGTTAAGGAGCTGTGACCAAGCAGCACAAACTCTACAGTACTTAGAAAGACTGACAATCACACCAGAGCCTCTGAGCCGGGTTTCTGGACCAATCATAGAACCAATCATCTTGTTTCAGAAGATGGGCGTTGGCCGTCTGGAACTGTACACACTCAATCCAGTAGGTGGCTGTAAAGACCTAGAAACTTTAATGCAGATTTGGCCAAACAACGGTTCCAATGTAAAAGCCTCAAACATTCCTTTGCCGTGCCTCGTCTCCATCTGTGCTCTGCTGGTGTGGCATCCGTCCAACCTTCAGGAGAAGATCATCCGCATCCTTTTCCCAGGATGCACGCCACAGGCCAAAATTCTGGAGGCACTTGAAAAAGTGAGACATTTAGATTGTCTAAAACAGTCCTCGGTCTGTCGGAAAGACCTGGACATGCCCAAAACTGAGAAACATCCTAAACGAGCAGAGAGTCGGGAAAGTCTGAAGTCCAGTTCAAAGGAGTTCCGACCCAGTATTGCTGTGCAGAAGGACAAGCTGAAGAAACAGGAGGTTAAAACAAGGCCAAAGGCTGGAGAAGCTGCTCTCAAAGAAAAGACGGATGGGGAGGAGAAGCTGAAGTTAAAGGACGGAGAAGTTAAACTGAAGCTGTTGAAACCCACAGAAAAAACAGTTCCAAAGAGAGAAGTGTCCAAGGAAGTGAAAAAGAAGGAGGAGAAATCACTGAGTGCTGCTGTGAAGAAGGAAGAGAGTGTAGAGAAGAAGAAGGAAGTGGCCAAGAAGGAAAGTGTCGGTGTGAAACCAAAGAAAGACGTTAAGGCTGAACCAAAGAAGGAGAGAAGAACGGAGGAGAAGAAAACCACCAAACCAACAGCTAAAGAATTAAAGAAAACAACCACAAACTCAGGTCCAGAACTGAAGAAGTCTTTAGGAAAGATGGGGGCTCTGAAGAAAGATGGGACCCTTCCAAAAAGAGACCCTTTAAACAAAGGTATTAAAGGCAAGATGGATTCAAAGGAGCAAGACAACCGCCTGAAGGTGGCAGCACCTGAGGACACAGTGGTGGAATTAGAGAGGATTCAGTTGGAAAGTGACACCATTGAACTCAGAGGTCAAAATGTCACATTGGACCTGGGAGCCAATGGGATCCACACTCCCTCAGGCAATAGTCCTGAAACATTTCGTTGTGATGAGACGCTCCAGATCACCACCACCGTCTTTTCACCCCTCAACAAAACCCCAAAAACTGAGCTCAGTGTGAACTTTGACCTCACTCCGACTGCCTTCCAACCCCCCGTAGGATCCTCGGAAAACAATGTCTGTGGGTGCTCTGAAGAAAAAACCCTGGAGCTGGTCTCTCCTGCAGATTCAGCCCCGAACAGTGCAGGACACACTCCTTTCCAACAGTCGCCTGAAGAAGACACTCGGGGTCTTTGCGAGGACAGCAGCCTTGGAGGTAGATGGTCTAGTCTGGGTTTCGAGGACTACAACCAGGGAGGTTCTTGTCGGACGTCAGACCTTAGTTCTCTGAGGGAGGGCCTGGAAAACTCCACTTCCTCTCAAGATAATAAACATCCCAGCCTTTTCAGAGACCTGATTCTTGACTCCTCCACCACGGTCACCTCCATGCCTGCCGAGGTCACTTCCCCTCATTCCACAGAAGTGGATGTATCTCTCTCGGTATCTTCTGACCAGGTGCTTCCTCTCTCTGGGCAGTCACCAAAAGGGTCCATGGGAGAAGCACTCTTCTCCAATGGACACGCTGCTCATTTCCAGCCACCTGTGGTGTCCTCAGAGACCGGGTGTCATGGCAACAGCAGAGAAGAACCCATTTGTGGAATACCAGAGCTTCTTTCAGTTGTTCCTCATGATGTTGATCTGTGTCTGGTTTCACCTTGTGAGTTCCAGCACCCAACAACTCCAGAGAGCCATCAGACACAGGTGTTACTTGACTGCGCAAAAAACAACAACAACAACAACAACTCTGGTCAGGAACAGGGTGGGGCCCAGGACCCTTCCCCATACTGCCAGGAAACCCCACCGACGTCAGTCAGCGACTCTCTGCCGTCAGCCACAGACTCTGACATCCCCCCTGGCACAGAGGACTGTCCTTCCACCACTGCAGACATTGACTCCGATGAAGACTCCATTGGTATTTTTCAGTCGTCTCAAAAGATTGGCCAGCTGTCCTCACTTGATCCCCCCCCAGCCCCAGTGAAGGATTTGCCCCCTCTCCCACCCCAGCCTGGAGCCTGCATGGCGGACTCTGAAGCTGATGGATCAGTCAAGAGTTTGGCTGCTCCCAAGACTAAAATGCAAAAGATACCAGCTGGAAGTACCACGACCCACATCGCAAAGACAAACAAGGCTGGCAGTACCACGGGGACGCTGAAGATGGCATCCAGCCTCGAAGCCAAACCGTCCTCCCGAAATTCACTTGGAGGATCCAGACTTGGAAGTTCAAAACCATCGTCCTCAGGTGAGGCTGAATTAAACATTTTACTTCAAAATGATGTTAATTGTTTTATTTAGTTTAGGTTTACAGTGGAACCTCAAGATACCAGTCTAATCCGTTCTACAACAGCACTCGTGTCTCGATCGAATTTTCCCCATTAAAAATATTTAAAAACCAAATCCGTTCCTAATGCTTGTTCTAGTTCTAGTTCATTAATAAAAGGCCTTCATCCAAAACAACCTCCTCACCTGAGGAAGATGCCTCAGATCCAGATTTAAAAAACGTCATTCTTTACTGGGGGGCAACTGACAGCCAGGTTGTGGGGTGTTTGTCATGTTCCACATTATGCCTTCTGAGGACTGTGACCCGGCTCTTGGTGGCCCAGACAAAACATGTCGGTTTCAGGGCTGTTTTCTGTGTTTTCAGTGTCTAGAACCAGCAGTTCTGTGAGTTCTGGGGGGTTGGCAGCCTACGTGGACCTGGCGTACTTGCCCTCCGGACCGGCCTCTTCCACCATTGACCTGGAGTTTTTTAAACGCATTCGCTCATCATATTACATCATTAGTGGGGAGGAGCCAGTGAAGGTGGCGTCACTCAGAACCATTCTGGATGCTCTTCTGGATGGAAAGGGCAGCTGGCCCGAGGACCAGGTCAGTGACCACTAACTAGTACAGGGGTGGGCAAAGTTTTTGACTAGTGGGCCACAAAGGGTTCTAAAATTTGACAGAAGGGAGCAGATAATGGATTGTTTTGGTAATCCACCTCAGAGAACTGTCTTTTGTGATAAACTGATTTTTACAATTTGTCTTTGTTCTCTGGACACAAGACACCTGCTGTCTCCACCAAACGTTCTTTTAAAAAAATTGCCTTCAGACAGGCTTGCTGGCCGTTGCTGGCCAGTTTGAATGACATTGGTAATTGACTCTTGATTGGCAGTTGAAAGAACTTGGTTGACGGTGTTGACGATGAAAAACTTTTGTTAAGCCTGTAAATTAGCTGTCAACCTCTGAGCAGTAGCTTTCCGTTCTCTCTCTGTCTGTTTGCTAGAATAATTAGCATGTTTTGTGGCAAAGTGACGGCTGATATATTCTTTAAAAACCACTACAGACTCTTGACATATCTGGCATACAGCAGGTGATCAGTGTTGGGTAAAAAAATATTGAAAAGCTTAACGGGCTGCATATGGCCCGCGGGCTGTAGTTTGCCCATGCGTGAACTAGTACCACTAACCACCAAGCAACTGGGTCGCTGATCAAATCTTTGTCCTATTTCCAGGTGACCCTCATCCCTACATTTGATTCCTTGGCCATGCATGAGTGGTATCAAGAGACCCACGACAGGCAGAGGGCGCTGTCCATCACTGTCTTGGGTAGCAACAGCACCGTGGCTATGCAAGAAGAAACCTTTCCTGCGTGCAAGGTTGAGTTTTAAACCCTGTGGAAAAGGTTCCAGTTCAAACTCTATCCAACAGTGTGTGTACAGTCCCCACCCACTGGGATGAGATCTCAACCCTGCCTTAATGTTGAGGTCTGAGTCCTGCCCACTGAGGGGCGTTCTTAGCCCTGCCTTAAGGTTGTTTTCCAAGTCCTACTGACTGTGCAGCTTTATGGGCTGGAGGACTGGACCTTCAAACCAGTCTTCCAGACTTCTCCAGGTGACACAACACAAAGAAACATGTGTTTACACTTTTGTCTGTTTTTAATGTTGTAGCAAACTTCAAAGTGAGGACCGGGTAACTGTGGTTTCCAAAAGGACACACCCCCTAGACGTCTATAATCCTAGTTGATCAGATGATTGATCAGTGATTATTTCTATAAATGTTTTCATTTGAAAAATGAAAAAAGGTTTAAAACATTTCAGTTTAATTTATTTATTTATTTTATCTTTTTATGGTCAAACATCCAGAGACTAAAGGTTGGTACGATGTCATTGATCATTGATCATTGATAAGTCCATTGCTGATTGATCAAACTAAACAAACTCCTTATTGGATAAATGAATGGTGTTGCAGTGATCTATAATCAGATTAACATAATCTGACTACAGTAAATCAGATGACTGTAATCAGATTATCATCAGATTAAAGGTGACAATCAGTCTTTATCTGTGTGAAGAGTGAAGCTACAGTCAGACTGATGTTCCACGTAGATTGATTTATTAAACTGAGATCAGATTACAGTCGGACAGTTGCCAGATTACAGATAGGGTTAAAAGACAAATGTTTTGTTGTGTTCAGAATATAAACAGAGTTGATTTTGACTGTAGTGAGATTAAAGTCAGACCATGAACATAATCCAGTAAGATTGTAATCAGAATACAGACTGGGATTGGTCACATATCTGTAATCTCCCCATTGTTTAACACCAGATTATCATAATCTGACGAAGGACTGTAATCTTTTAATCTGAGATAAATTCAATGGTTTTAATGAAGTTTTACCACATTTATATCATATATACCTTGTTGTTATTATTTTATGATTATTTTTAATTGATTTTTATCTTCTGTGAATCCTTTTATTATATTCATGAAGAAGAAATAATGCCGGAATCTTCTACTCCTGTTCTTTCATGTTAGTTTTCCATGTCAGGTAGAAAAGTCACTCAAACACTACTTAAAATCCTTTTCAAAATAAAAGTTTCCCTTCTCTCCATTCTGCTGTGTTTTATTCTGAAAGTTCTGAAAGTCAGACAGGCTCTGTAGTTTCCTCTCACGGTCCAAAAACTGCAGACTACAAGTTCACTGTCCAAGGTGTAAACCCAACACCACCTGATGACCATTGGGATTGACTCCAGCTTGTCCTGTGACCGTGAGAAGGGTAGAGTAGAAGGTGGATGGATGAATTAATCTAGTCCCATGTCCCATTGGTCAGAAACATCCGACAGGTTTTGAAGGCACCACCTCCTCCTTCACTGCCTCTTCCCCTCCCTTCCTTCTCCCTCTCTCTCCTCCACAATGGGCGTGGCTCTACAGCAGGACATGTGATTGGTGCAGAGGACAGTGTGTGCGTGTGTGTGCATGTGCTGCGCTGACCAGACGAGGTGATGATGATGATGATGCAGTGAGTACAGAACATCTGTTTGTTCTTTCTCTTCTTCTTTTCCTGTCACTATCTCCACCTGTGATGTCACTGTCCAGCATCAGGAAGCTGACTTAGAGAGTGTGTGTGTGTCACATCCAGGAAGGATGTGATTTCTGCTCAATATCTGCAGTGGCGCTGACATCACTTCCTGTTTTTATGTGTCTGAAGTCTTAGTTAAGCATTTTAACTGGATAACTAGTCAGACCTCCAGGTGGTTGGTTAGTTTGGTTGACTTATGAGTCAGTTAGTTGATAAGTTTGTTTTCACTAACAATATGTTGTTGGTAAAATAATGTTTCGACCTGAGTCTGTGTCTGTGTCTGTGTCTCAGGGGAACTGAAGAAAGACTGCACCTCATTACTGTAAGTGTGTATGTGAGAGAGAGAAGGAGCCAGTGAATGGGTGAAAGGGTGTGTCGGTGGGTGAGTTAGAGTGAGGGAGTGCAGGAGAACGGTTGAGTGTGTGATGGAACAGAGAGAGTACGGTAATAGTTCCAGAAAAAGAGAGAGAGGATGAGAGAGTGACAAAGTGAATGCTGGAAGTCAGAGTGAGAGAGTGAGTCAAAGTTGTGAATGAACGAGTGTAAAGACGTACTACAGTTTTCCTATCATGCCTCAGGAGAAGAGGAAGCTGCAGACAGAGGTGGAGAACAAGCGACGTCAGCTGGAGGATGACAGGAGAACTCTGCAGCACCTGAAGGTCAGTGGTTGGTCAGGTGACTGATCACAGACACAGACACAGACACTGACACTGACAGTCCAGATGTTTCTTTGCTCCAGTCTCAGGCAGTGAGGGAACAGTGGCTGCTGGACGGAGCCTCCTCTGCTGGTCCAGACCAGGACCAAACCAAGACCAGGAACCTGGAGGCCACCATCAGCAGGTCTAACACGTACCTCATATGAGCCCCTCTCCCTCCCGGCCCCTCCGCTTAACACCCCCCCACCACCACCACCACCACCGTCCCCCAATCTGATCAGTGTGTGTTGGTTTCAGGTTGGAGCAGGAACTGGTCAGTCTGGAGACTGGAACACACACCAGTGTATGGACACAAACACACTCACCACATCAACATCATCACATTAGTCTGCTTGAACTGTGATAATCTGTTAATCATCACAATGATCTGTGATTGGTCAGGTTTGATTTCTTTGTTTACTCTTATTACATCAGTGACTCTTCCTTGTCTCTCCTGTAGGTGGCACCAGGACTAATCAAAGGTACATTTCTTCTTTTCTCTTTCCTTTTTCATTTTATGTAATCATTTTTTAACTTTTCCTCTGTGGTCAGAGGCAGAGGTCAAAGGTCAGGACGCTAGGCCTACATGTCACATCTTCCAAGGTAACACTGTGGTCAGATCTTAGTAACCAGCTCACTGCTGTCACACAGTCCACCAATCACAGTCCAGCAGTCAGTTCACAGCCTCCCCCATGAAGACCATTAAACTCTGTCTCCTTCTTTACAGAGGTCAAAGTTCACACCAGCTCTCAGATCAACCAGCCAATAGAATGTGCAGAACAACTGAAGAGAGGTGAGAAAGAGACCAGGACCAGGTTCAACATGATCTCAGGTTCAATGACCAACCACAGACAGATCAAGGTCTGACTGTATGTCCCTCTGTCTCACAGCGGTGTACTCAGTGGAGATCACTGTAGAGAGAGACAAGTCAACTGGAGAGACTCGGGTTTTGTCCACTAACACCAAACTTCCTGTCGACCTGTCTTACCATGGGATCAAAGTTTACGAGGACGAGCAGAAAGGTGAGCTGGTCCACTAGTTCACTCAGCTGTAGTGATGTCACTGCAGTCATGTTGCTGGTACAGTGATGTTGCAGTGACATGACCTTTAGCACTGTGCTGAGGTCACACTGCAGCAGTGACCTCAGCTGTGACCTGATGGGCGTTTCCCTCTGCAGTGGTCCATGAGATGAACGGTGAAGACGGCGGTCACCAGCTCAGTTGCTCTGAAGTGGAGGAGCTCATACACAAGGCTGACGAAGCGTCGATGATGTCACAGACAGTCGACACCGTGTCCTCACTCCCGGCAGCTGAGGTGCAGGAGGAGGAGGGGCTGGTGAGGGAACCCCCCAGTCTGAGTCAGAAATCCATATTTCCAGTAGAGATTCCAGGACTGGAGGCTAGACCAGCCCCTGAGTCCAGTGTAGCTGAGGCCAGCACCGAGAACCCAGTCACCATGGTGTTCATGGGATACCAGAGTGTGGAGGACGAGGCGGAGACCAAGAGGGTCCTGGGTCTGCAGGGCACGGTGAAGGCCGAGCTGGTTATCATTGACGATGCCAACAACAAAACATCAGCTGGGGGCAGGGACGAAGACAAGACCAGCGGTAGGGCTGGTACACAGGGTCTTCCTCCCCTGATCTCCACCCCCCAACCAACGGCCACTAAACCCCCAGAGTCCATGATGGCAAAAACCAAGGAGGCCATCAAAGAAATGCCAAGAAAGTCTTTGGGGAACACCCCAAAGGACCCAGTGGGGAAGAGAGCCCAGGACCCCCACGGGGACTGTGGGGGGGACCCAATTGGGGAAGCAACTAGCGAGGTGGTGAAGATAAAAAAAGAGAAGCAGCCCTGCAAGTGCTGCACCATCATGTAATCCCTCTGCTTTAAAGTGGAATCCAGGAACCAATCCAGTATGGAGACCAAACACCAAAACCTCTGAGCTCCACCCACTGCCCTAAGCCCCGCCTCTAACACGAGGATGTCGTTTTTCGGCTTCCTGTGGCTGCGCTGCACTTGTATATCGAGTCTGTTTAACTTTTCTACTGATCGTGGCACTAACTGACACAACTGCTAATTGTTAGCATCAGTATCAGCGTTACCTTTGACAGTAGCATGAGCCTCTGAGTTAGCATTCATGTTAGACTTAGCTTAAAAAATGATCAAATGCTTCATTGTCCGCATTCGAGTTCATCAAAGTGTCAGCGTTGTCAGCACTAGTATGAACTGCAACGTTAGCTGTGTCTGCTGAGTCGTTCAATAAAAATGTGGAAACAAATTCAAATCTCCAGGATTTTTTCGTAAAACTTGATTTAACCCTGTTTTTAAATAAAAATATTTTTGAATTGATTGTAGCTATACATCATTCATCATTTGTGTGGCTACAATCCCTCTTCCTGGTCCATTTCCAGCTGGTGAATAATGGATGCATATAAATAAAAACATACCAGTTGTTGCTTTTTTACTATTACCAAGAATAAGAATATACCGTGATCCAATTAAGTTAAAATGATAACATTTGGGAAATCAATACAAACACGCGACACATCCGGGGTTTATTTTGAAAGTGACCGGAAATGACTATTTGAGAAGTTCGAGAAGCGCCCTCAGCAGTTGGAGGCGGACGAACCGGATCAACAAGAGGCGATTTAACCAGACAACCTTGTAGAAAAGGGAAAGTTCGTATCAGTCAACATGGAACCGGTGTCGGTTTCTCTGTCTGCAGCTCCAGTGCAGGAGATCGACGGCAGCGTCATGGAGGGAGTGAGTATCCTCGCCACTAACGCTGCTAGTCGCAGACTACCGTCGGTGCTGACTCATCTCACTGATGCACCATTTCTCTGTTTCCCGGCGTCGCTTCTCCACAGGGCGGACAGATCCTGAGAGTCTCCGCTGCGCTTTGTTGCATCACCGGCACCGCAATCAAAATCAGCAGAATCCGCGCCGGCAGAAGCACGCCCGGGCTCAGGTGAGCGTAGCTAGCAGGCTAACGTTAGCCTATTCATTCCAGACAATCACAATGCGCACGGAGTTAACAGAGAATAGGAGAAGAACACAGATCATCACTGAAGTTTAGACACAAACGTTTCAGACATTTTGCGGAGTAAAGGGACGACTCATCACACAGTGGGGCAGAACCGCTGCTATAGTCGGCATCAGTCCAAGCACCACATCCTCCCTGCAGCATGTCATTGTTCCAGAACAGCCTGCAGTCGGACTGACACTTACCAGTTGATTTTATGATCAAAACTTTCCAGAATCGTTAAGTCGACCTTAACGAACGACCTTAAATCTTCAGTCAGCTTTGACGTGAACGTTAGCCAAAGGTGTAAACACAAACAAAATTGTCAGTGCAGTACTTGAAAACGTGTTGTTCATAAAGAATTTTTCCGAGTACCAATACATGGATACCATGAATAAGAATACTACAGTGACTACGTCATTCATTCATCTATTTTGCTTGATGCCGTTTACGAAAAAGAGAAAAAAAAAGTTTTTCACTGATATGATATTTTTATGTGAGATGGTGTCTTTATAATGTGTTTTTGTGTGTGTGTGTGTGTGTGTGTGTAGACCACAGCACCTCACTGGCCTACAGCTAGTCTCGGAACTGTGTTCTGGTGGTCTACAGGGAGCCAGCATCGGCTCCACCGACATCTGTCTGACTCCAGGAAAGATTCGCTCTGGAAACCACACAGCCGACACACACACAGCAGGGTGAGGCTCTTATGTTCACATGTTGAAGCATTGGCAATATCTTAACAAACATGGAACGCTTTCACAGTTTGGGGGACTTGGTTGGATTGGGCCAGGACTGTTTTTTAAAGTAGAACAAACAACCCACACTAGAATCAGGACTGATTCCTGGTCAGGGAAAAAACAGGCTCATTAACTGTCCAGGACCAAACACAGGAATTCATCCCATAGATCCACACTCAGCTGCAATCTAGTCTTATGGTTGTGTGTCACTTCTCCAAACTAAACTAAAATCAGTCGTTTTCTCTCCGAGGTTTGGTTTGGCAGTGAGGGGTTTCCTGTTAGTAAGCTTGTTGGTGACTAAAAGCTTTTTCCTGGCAGTAGCCATGTTTTTACCCTTATTTGAAGGCAGGGGGCGCTCTTCTCTCTCTTTCTGTCAGGAGTGTGTGTCTCCTGCTGCAGCTGGCTCTCCCCTGTGCTCTGTTTGCTGACTCCACATCTCAGTTCAGTCTGAGAGGAGGAACTAACGCAGAGATGGCTCCTCAGGTGGACTACACACTCAAGGTCGGATACACACACACACACATCCTGTTGTGGTACCTCTCATGTAATCTCTGCGGCGTTCTCTTCCTGCTTATTCATGTGACTTTTTCTCTACTTTTCATCTTCTGCAGGTTTTTAAACCTATCGTGGAGAAGTTTGGTGTTCACTTCAACTGTGACCTGAAGATGAGGTCAGTGGGGGCGCTGGGAGGGGGGTGGGGGGTGTCTGTGTTTGTGTTTCTCACACTGCAGGTGTGTGTGTGTTTCAGAGGCTTCTATCCTAAAGGTGGAGGTGAATTGATGGTGACGGTGAATCCTGTCAAAGAGCTGCAGCCTGTCACCATGACTGACAGAGGAAACATCATCAAGATCCACGGACGAGCGTTTGTTGCTGGAGTCCTGCCCTTCAGAGTAACTTCAACACGCACTCAGACAGTTAGCTCCCTAGCTAACATTTAGCTCTTGTTTTAACCTCTGTCTGACTTTGTGCTTAATTAGCTTTAGTTTGTTGTTCAGAACACTGAGTAGTAGCTACTCAACTGATTTTTTTGGCTAACTGTTATCTCTTTCTCTGTTAACATTTTAAAAACCTTCTAATTTCCTTCTTGTTTTTATTTTTATTTTGTACGTTTTTTGTTTTTTTTTTTACCTGCTCCAACTTTTGTCCTAATTTTAGCTACTTAGAGGGGAATCTCCAACTCTTTTTTTTGTAACTTTTTAAACTAATTTAATTATTTATTTTCTGGTTGTTATTTACGTTGTCGTCGTTCTTTACGTTGTTGTGTACGTCAGTTAGCGAAGGACATGGCGTCAGCAGCTGTTCGAACCATCAGGAAGGAAATTAAAGAACTTTACATCAACATTCAGCCACTGCAGGAGAAAGACAAGGCCACTGGGAACGGCAACGGAATCATGTAAGCCCCGCCCACCCTGCATCTCTGATGGTGTCAATTTGTTTCCTGCGTTCTCATTGGTCGGTCTCTTCTCTTGCAGAATCTTAGCCGAATCATCCACAGGTTGTTTATTTGCAGGTTCAGCTCTAGGGAAAAAAGGTGAGGATGCTGTGCTTCATCAGCAGGGGGTGAACTGGAGCTGTTTTGTCACATATTGCTTCTTCCTGTCCTGTGTGTGTTTCAGGAGTGACGCCAGATAAAGTGGGGATCGAAGCAGCGGAGATGTTGTTGAGAAACATCAGACACAACGGCTGTGTAGACGAGTTCCTGCAGGACCAGGTCTGTGTGTGTGTGTGGGGGGGGGGGGGTTAATGTAAGGGTTAAGATTAGTCGTATATCTGTATCATTTCTGTGAAGACCTCACAACTGATGAAAACCAGACTGTGTGTGGGGGCTGTACTCAGATACACGTACACACACGCGTACACACACACGCTTGCTCACAGGTTGTATCCTTCTTCAGCTCATCATCTTCATGGCGTTGGCGAAGGGAACGTCCAGAATCAGAACCGGAGCAGTGACGCTGCACACACAGACGGCCATTCACATCGCTGAGCAGCTGACAGAGGTCAGGGGTTCGACTGCTAGCCAACAGTCTGTGCTAACACTAATCTGAACAGCTGCTCTCATTTACTAACGTTCAGCGAATTATGATCAGTAATCAGTGAAGTAATTCAAACCTTTTCTTTTTCAGGCAAAGTTTACAGTAACAAAATGTGACGATGGACTGAGTTACATCATCGAGTGTCAGGGGTCAGGGGTCACCAATGGTCATTTGTAAACACACACACTGTACTACACACTAACACACAATGTACCACACACACGTACCCACACTAAGACAGACACACACACACACTCACACTCTCAGGGTGTAAAAAATAAAAGTATGTTTTCAGCCTCGACTGTCTCTGTTCTGTCTGTTCTTCTGTTTCCTGTGATGTCACTGAGCAGTGGAACATCATCAGTCACATGACAGTGAACTGATCAAAACAATCAGTGTGGGGTTGTTGTGGCTTCATAGCGTAGCAGTTAGCAGAGTCCTGGGTTTGACTTCCAGAGAAACCAGCACATCCCGTGTGGCAGCCTGTGAGCTGTAACTGCGAGCTCAATGGCGTCTCCTGTGGCAGCCTGTGTCTGTTGCATTGTGGGACGAGTAAGGGATCCAATTATTATTATTATTATTGTTGTTGTGTGTACAGTGGTGGCAGCAGCATCCTGCCTTGTTTCCGTGACGCTGATGTCATGAGCACCTCTGACCTCTTTGAGGCGCCGTTCAGCAGAAACCTGATGCGGCTGGAAACTCCGCACACAAGTGTAAGGTGATCTGGATCACCTGACACCTCCTGGACTCCTGGACCGCCGTCTCTGCTGCTGCTTCACCACAGCATGACGCCGCGGGGGGGGGGGGTGAGGATTAGAATGATGCATAGGTTAATGTAAGGGTTAAGATTAGTCGTATATCTGTATCGTTTCTGTGAAGACCTCACAACTGATGAAAACCAGACTGTGTGTGGGGGCTGTACTCAGATACACTCACACACACGTACACACACACGCTTGCTCACAGGTTGTATCCTTCTTCAGCTCATCATCTTCATGGCGTTGGCGAAGGGAACGTCCAGAATCAGAACCGGAGCAGTGACGCTGCACACACAGACGGCCATTCACATCGCTGAGCAGCTGACAGAGGTCAGGGGTTCGACTGCTAGCCAACAGTCTGTGCTAACACTAATCTGAACAGCTGCTCTCATTTACTAACGTTCAGCGAATTATGATCAGTAATCAGTGAAGTAATTCAAACCTTTTCTTTTTCAGGCAAAGTTTACAGTAACAAAATGTGACGATGGACTGAGTTACATCATCGAGTGTCAGGGGTCAGGGGTCACCAATGTGCATTTGTAAACACACACACTGTACTACACACTAACACACAATGTACCACACACACGTACCCACACTAAGACAGACACACACACACACTCACACTCTCAGGGTGTAAAAAATAAAAGTATGTTTTCAGCCTCGACTGTCTCTGTTCTGTCTGTTCTTCTGTTTCCTGTGATGTCACTGAGCAGTGGAACATCATCAGTCACATGACAGTGAACTGATCAAAACAATCAGTGTGGGGTTGTTGTGGCTTCATAGCGTAGCAGTTAGCAGAGTCCTGGGTTTGACTTCCAGAGAAACCAGCACATCCCGTGTGGCAGCCTGTGAGCTGTAACTGCGAGCTCAATGGCGTCTCCTGTGGCAGCCTGTGTCTGTTGCATTGTGGGACGAGTAAGGGATCCAATTATTATTATTATTATTGTTGTTGTGTGTACAGTGGTGGCAGCAGCATCCTGCCTTGTTTCCGTGACGCTGATGTCATGAGCACCTCTGACCTCTTTGAGGCGCCGTTCAGCAGAAACCTGATGCGGCTGGAAACTCCGCACACAAGTGTAAGGTGATCTGGATCACCTGACACCTCCTGGACTCCTGGACCGCCGTCTCTGCTGCTGCTTCACCACAGCATGACGCCGCTGCCCGGATGATGCAGGACGGATCCCGCAGTCTGCAGCCCGGGCTCGGACCAGTACCAGGACTTGGGTCAGGGTCAGTTCCAGGCCCTGAATCTGGACCAGGGCCAGGAACAGGATTTGGGGTAATTCCAGTGACTGGAGGTCTTGGGTCAGGATTGGGACCAGGAACAGGCCTTGGGCCAGAACCAGGTTCTAGTTCAGCTCTCCATCCAGGATCTGGGCACGGGTCAGCTGCTGGGTCAAACCGTGTGTGGATCTCTCTGATCGCAGGTGAGTGTTGAGGGTCCGATCTGGGTAACTGTTCAGTGACGCATTCCTGGTTTTAGTCTTGATTACTGGGTCTGACCCATTAAACCAGATCCTAAAACTGTTTAAGGACTGGAGCAGTTCTGGAGGTCTGTGAGGGACTGTTCGAACCACGGTCAGTTTTAGGCCCAGGTTTAGTTCAGAGCCTGGGCTTTTAGGAATGAACTCCACCTGGAGCGCAGTCCAGACTGGGGACCATAGTCAAGATCCTGCAGGAAACATGTAAAGATACAGTTTTATCTTGTACAGTTACAAGATAAGTTTTAAGGGCACTGACCCCAAACCAGCGCCTCCTCCTCCTCCCATACCCCCCACACGCGTAGCAGCATCAAGAGCTTGAGGGTGCTGCATCCCGCTGAAGTCCAGCTGTGTGTGGATGGTTGTAGATCTGTGGGGCAGGTATTTCTAAAGTACATGTGAGTAAAGAAGAGTATGAGTATGACAGCATTTTATGACACAGGTACAACACACAATGCTAAGTTCCGTTAGCCTGAAAGATGTTAAAGTTTAAGCCGTGTCTTCTCCAGGGGGCGCCAGAGCACTTCAGGGAGGATGTAAAATAAGGTCATGTACAGGACAACGTGTAAACTATCTCACTTTGTTGTGAATAAGTGGATGGATCGGTTCCAGGTACAATAGACGTTTCTGTTGCACAGCAGAAACATTTATTAATTTATTCCCTGTCCCTTTAGGGACTCCATATAAATGCACAAATGAATTAGGAAGAACAGGTTTCTTCGACTTTGCCATGTAAATAAAGAAATTCGTTTATTTATTTATTATCAAAATACTAGTAATAATCAGTTAGGTATTAGAACCATGGAAAATACACGTTTTTGATTGATTTACTGCTTTGATGGACGGCACCCGCCCTTTTACGTGAACGTCTCTCCCGCGGGGCAGACGTGAATTTTATTAAGAGCCAGTAAAATTTAGCCAACTCCTAAAAATAAGTCGAGGTGAGAATAGACCGATTGTTTTTCTCTGGCTGAACCTGAAGGCTTCAGTACAATTTTTCCTAACTGACCTTAAATGTAGCATAATCAGTCCCGCTCTCTGATTGGCTGCGGTTGCTATGGGAGCGGTTGAGGTTGCTATGGTGACACCCGTCTTAAGGAGGGACTCCGTAAATCCAGGTTCCAGACTCCTAAAGCTCCGGGGTTTCTCGGCTAACATGCTAATACGCTAACAGAGAGTTATTTTCAGTAAACTGCGGAAAAAACACGAAGAAGTCGCGGTTTTAAGCGTTTAAGCCACAGAGCAACTACCACACGGACCGACGGAAAAAACTTAGAAGTTTTCAGTTTTTTAATTTACTTTAAACAGTTTGTTAGATGCTAACCTGTTAGCAATCAGAAGTTTATAGAAAGTGTGGAAGGAAGCTGAGGTGAGGGCAAGTGGGGGGTTCCGGAAGTTCCCGGTCCTGCTGGCCCGGTTCAGAATGAACGATGACCAGGAACTGCAGGGAACCGCCGAGTTCATCCGAGGTAAGAGGTTCGATACCAGGACTTGAAAAGAACGACGTAGGGTTAATTTGAACCTTGAAAAGACCCAGAAACTCAAATATAAAGGTTATTTTTCTATTTAAAAAATATGACTTTGTTTTTAAAAGATTTCAGTAACTTGTATTAACCTAGTTATATACAAACATTTATGAAGTTATTTGGACCAATAAAAGTCACAGTCTGTTAGAATAATTTGGTTTCCTCCTCCCTCTCTCTGTCTCTCTCAGATCGTCTGTACTTTGCCACTCTTCGCAGTAAACCTAAAAGTACGGCCAACACTCACTACTTCTGCGTCGATGATGAGTTTGTCTACGAAAAGTAAGTCAGTCACGTGACTTGCCACAATGCACCCTGGGAGTGTCGGTCCTGATGGCTGTCCACTTGACCGAGTCATTAACTACTGTCAGGTTCTGTCAAGGGACTTAACACCAGTGATGGCAGTGTGATGTCATTATGGCGTCATCATGACGTCAGGTCATTGTGTTGTCTCTGTGTCCAGTCTGGTTTTAGACCACAGCAGTACCAGGAAAGAGCAGATACTGACGCTTGTTTGGACCAAAATCAGATCCTGTTCCACAGGTAGCACTATCAGAGAGTAAGGAACCTACTTACTTAGGAGGTGGAGCTTGTTGGCTCACAGCTTCCTGATTGGTGTGTTTTATTTCCCTAAACATCTTTAAAAAGTTTTAGAACTATTCCTACAGAACAGCTCTCTGTGGACTATGGACTCAGAAGTAACCATCAGAAGTCCAGGTACTGTTGAGACAGACCAGACACCCTGGAACTGAATGACTCCTTTTTTTTTTTTTAAACAAAGCAGAGAACCTGACTGACGTGACCATCATTGGACTGTTACTGCTGTGGAACTGAGGTTCAGTTAGAATGGTTCCTGGAACCGAAATCTCCTGGTACTTCATGGTGGAAACTTTTTGAGAGCAGACCATGTCCTTGTAAACTGTTTGTTCTGTTTTAATTGGCTAAACTCACACAGACTTAGGGTGATATAAATGTGATGTCATTATCTGTCTCTGCCTGCAGCTTCTATGCAGACTTTGGTCCGTTGAACTTGTCCCTGTTGTTCAGATACTGTTGTAAACTCAACAAGAAGCTGAAGGTGAGTGAGAACCACACCCCCCCCAGGAATGACCACAATGCAGTGCACATGCTCACACACACACACATGCACACAAACAAACAGATACTGAGCAGACAGATGACAGATTGATGATGTCACCAGCAGCTAGTAAAGTGACCACACTAACCAAGTGTCCAAAGTGAACTGACCAGTTTTAACCAGCTGTACCTAATGGTGTGGCCACTGTGTGGGTGTTGTCTGTTGTGTATATGGTTACCATGGTGACACTGGTTTGATGACAGATGTCATACCTGACAACTACTGCTCATTGTGGAATGAGAGCATTATTTCTTCCCAGCATGCTTTGCACATAGAGGCGTTTGTGTGTCAGGTGTTAAATCAGCAGACACACTGGATTCAGACTCCTCCCTTCTCCCCTCTGCACCTCCTCTGTCTCTTCCTCTTCTTTTTTTCCTTTCACTCTTCTCCTTGTCACCTCCTCCTCTTCATCCTGCCCTTTCTGTTTGTTTCTTCACTCCTTCTCCTCCCCTTCCTCTTCTTCCTCCTCCTTGCTACTGACCATTTTAATTTTCTTCCTGTTCTTCTGTCGCCTCCTTTCCTTCTACTCTTTGGTTCCACTCTTTTTCCTTTCTCTTCTTGTGCATCTTTCTTTTCTTTTTTTTGTTGGAATTTTTTCTTTGCCTCCTTGAAACTCCCTCCTCCTCCTGTACCTTCTTCTGCTGCTCCTCCTCAGTCTTTCACTCTGACCAGGAAGAGAATTGTTCACTACACCAGCTTTGATCAGAGGAAACGTTCAAACGCAGCTGTTCTGATTGGAGGATACGCAGTGAGTGCAGCACTTCCTCTTTCATTACCTCCACAATAAAAGCACAAGGTAATTTGATTCATGTTTACCTACAGAGACACTGATCACATGACTGTGTGTGCATGTGTGTTTTTTGTATGTGTGTGTGTCAGGTAATTTACCTGAAGAAATCTCCAGAAGAAGCTTACAGAGCTCTAACCTCTGGCTCCAACGCCCCCTACCTGCCCTTCAGGTTAGTGCAGTAATTTACCGTAATCTATACTGTACATACAAAAATAAAAAAAAATTACAATTCTATTACAGGTATAATCCTCCACCTGTGTAGTACTGTAAAACTACTATTAATACAATACAAATAATTGTATCTTAAAATACACCAATCACACAGTAGTGTTCCCTCTCGATATCGTGGTTCTCCTTTCACTATAGCGGGTTATATTACAGTAAACTTTTTTTTTTTTTAATTCCTGTATTTTAAATTTTTTTTGTGAAAAACATTTTCTTACCTAAACAATTACACAGTAAAAACATGGCAAAGAATAAACTAAAAGACATCAGTGGTAGCTTTGTTTACCTAGAGGCCTGATTACTCCAATTGCGCTTACTTGCCACTCCCGTGCTCTCCTTCTTTCCCATAATGTGTATTTAATTTATTACGTTAATTAATACATATGTCTTATATTTTCATTATACAACCTTACTGTGCCTATAATTGAGTGGGAAAGGTTACTACAGTCTAGGGAGGGTTAATAACAATGTGGGGGAGGTTCGTCAAGGCTAAGTATATACATAAATAATATAATAATTATCTTACCTCTACTTCGCAGATTTTCCCTTTTCACAGCGGGTCTTTGAACGCAACTACCGCAACAGGAGAAGGATCACTGTAGTACAGTACCAAATAACCACTACAGCAGAGTAAAACTTATATGACAACATTAGTCAACAATATCACAGGATTCTCCAGTTGAAAACATGTAGTACTACTATGAAATATTTAGGTGTTCCAAGCAAGTATGACACAGTACAATTGTAGTGGAAGTATTCATCCTTGAAACAGTACTACAGTACCTTCAGTACTATTGAAGGGATTTTTGATGAAGTGTGTGTGTGTGTGCGCGGACAAAGCATCTTTTGTTGTTAGCTTATGTAACAGTGTCATGTTGTTGTGGCAGTGAGGCGTTCACTGACCGTCTGATTGCTCTGAATATTTTGTTTCTCGTAATTAATTCATAAATGTTAATGAACAAACTGATTACAGTTGTCAGGTCATCAACAGTCGTGTGTGTGTGTGTGTGTGTGTGTGTGCGTGCGTGCGCTGCAGGGACGCAGCCTTTGGAAACTGCAGCTACAGCCTGACTTTGCTCGACTGTCTTCAGGGCATCAGAAAGGTGAGTTGACTGTCCCTGTTCTGACTGTCCGTACCTGCGACCATGTCCTCCCCACAGGAGGATGACGTTATGTCTCTTTGTACTTAAGGCTCTTCAGCACGGCTTCTTCGATTTCGAGACCTTCGATGTGGACGAGTACGAACATTATGAGGTGAGAGGACTCAAGCTCATTGGCTGAGAGCAGCAGCGCCCCCCTCTGGGTGCCACGTTCACTCGTTGCTTGCGTCTGTTCACAGAGGGTGGAGAATGGAGACTTGAACTGGATTGTTCCAGGGAAGTTGCTGGCCTTCAGTGGACCCCACCCCAAAAGCAAGGTGGAGAACGGTGAGTTCAGGGACAGCAGAGGAAGAACCCAGACTCAGACACACTGGCTGAAACTCTGCCCCCTGCAGGTTACCCTTTGCACGCACCTGAGGCCTACTTCCCTTACTTCAGGAAACACAACGTAACGACAGTGGTGCGTCTGAACAGGAAGATCTACGACGCCAAGCGATTCATGGATGCCGGTTTTGACCACTTTGAGCTGTTCTTCGTAGACGGCAGCACGCCCAGTGACGCCATCGTCAGACGATTCCTGCACATCTGTGAGAACACAGACGGAGCTGTTGCCGTGCACTGCAAAGGTCAGGATGGACCTTAGGTCGTCTGTGATGTCGCCTGTGTGTCATGTGACTGTGCCTTCATGATGTCATTTGTGTGTGTTCTCCGTGTCAGCTGGTCTGGGCAGGACAGGCACTCTGATTGGCTGTTACCTGATGAAACATTACCGCTTCACAGCAGGTGAGGCCATTGCGTGGATCAGGATCTGCAGACCAGGCTCTGTGATTGGACCGCAGCAGAACTTTCTGGAAGAGTGAGGCCATAAATCTTGACATGTTGGATCAGAATCAGAACCAGGATCAGATCCTGAGACAGAACGGTTCTTGCTCCTCATCTGATCAGAACCTTCTCCTGGTCTTTATCTGATCACAGGAAGCAGGCAGAGCTGTGGCTGCTGGGCGACAACGAACGCTCCCAGAAGTCCCAGTTGGTAGAGAGGGCGGGGCTTAACCTCATCACCAGTATGAATGAGCTGACAATAAGTCCCCACAGCAGAGTGGACCAGCAGCAGGAGGTCTCTCACACACACACACACACACACGTGCACCAACATAGCTGTATAAACACACACATGCTCAGATGTAGTTTTGTTTTGCAGCCAACAGAGGGCACTGACGGACTAACTCTGACTCAGGGAGATAAACTGAGAGCCTTAAAGGGTCGACGACCCCCTCGGTCTGTTACCACAGGAGCTCTGAGGTCAGTACCAAACTCACTCACTCACACACACACACACACACACACTCACACACACACACTCACACAGTGACCTACTGTCTGTGTTTCAGGGTCGGTGAGATGAAGATTCACAGCAGGTCGACGACTCAGCCGCTCAGGTGACCCACATCGATTTACCCATCTGTCTGGTAGTTCATCTGGTCTGATGGTTATTGGTAGTTAGTTGGTTGGTTGTACATTTAATTAGTGTTACTTAGTTGTTATGGTCATTAGTTGGTTACTAAGTTAATATGTTATTACCTAAAGTAATTAGCTGCCAGTAAAGTCACTGGTCAGTTCTAGTTTTTAAACTTTAACTTCTCTCCTGACTCGTCAATCACTAATCTTTAACAGGTTATCGATGGGGAGTACCCAGGGCCCCGCCTCCCCCCTCAAGACCACCAGGTTTTCATCGTCCTCTACTTCTGCTGCAGCCAAAAGGATTGGGAGGAGTGCGCCACCTACAGGCTCAAACATCAGGAGGTGAGTGTTCAGATATTTTTTCTACACCCTCCAGTGACATGTTTCTCCTGCACCAATGTCCATAGGGAAAATCAGTGATTTTAGCTCACAGATGCAGGAGCTGCTGGTCCACTGCTGCCTTCTGTGATTGGTTTGTGCGCTGCACACAGATACAATGCACAGCCTATTGACGTGTTGTTTTGGCACGTGTGTAACATCCATTTTATATTTACCCCGTCCCCTCCTTCTTACTTTGCCCTGCCCCCAGCTCAGCTCTGGGCTCCCGATTGGCCAGTTCCCTCAGTGACCTGTATGCTGCAGATGTGAGGGAGGGCAGGACACCTCCCTTTGCCCCATCCCCTTCTGCTGCCCCCTCCTCCTCTTTGGCCCCGCCCACTCTTTGTCGCTTTTCTAATGGTCCAATCGGCATGCAGCACGAGGTCAACAACAACAACATCCGGCCTGCGTACAGGGGTCTGGGGGCTCATGGTGCCATGACATCAGGACGCTACCTGAGCCGTTCCATTCCTGTAAGTTCCTGACATCTGTGACATCGGCTCAGGCACCGCCCACCTCCCCAATACTTTGTTAGGTTAGCAAATATTTGTGTGTGTGCGTGCCCAGTTCATGAGACTGATCAGTCACTCTGTCAGCTGTGCAGTTCTTCAGACAGTTCTATTTCCTGTTCTGCATCAAAGGAACTTTCTTTTTTCAAGCCCAACCCCTACCTCCTGACCCGCCCAGCCCCCTACAGCGGTTACACAGTTGACCGCTATGTTAATAGCATGTTATACATTTGACATGCTAATAAAATGTCAAGGTTTTAGCATATTGTCATTGACATGATGTTTATAGACTCCTCCCTACATGTCGTCAGTAGCCTGTTATAAGGCTAATGGCATTAGCATTTACATTGCTTGCAGGCATATATTGCATAAAGTTAGCATGCTATCTGTAATGTTTTGTTTTTATTAAACCAGCATATTGTTTTTAGCATTTAGCATATTGGTCTAATAGTACTAGCAGTCAGTAAGCATAATCCAAGTAGCCGTGTTTTCCTGGGCTGCCTTTAACCTGATGGCATGTTAGCATGTAATTACCATGTTGTCGTTACCAGATTATTAGCATGTTGCTTCATTCACTTCATTTATCGTTCAACCTTTCCAACCTTCTGTTTGTTTCCAGTCTCTTCAGTCGGACTTCGCTCACTACTAAAACTGCACCGACCTGAATGGAGGTCTATGATGAGGATTTCCCACAATCCTCTTCGCATGCTGGACGCCACGTTGTGTGGAAGATTTTGAAGAGATTTTACTTTATATTTGTACTTTTGTGACAGAAGTAGAAGAAACCTATTTTTATTGTAACAAGAAGAATTTAGTTTATTAATGAACTGAAGCGTCAGCTGATGCTCTGGGGTCACATGACAGTGTTTTCTATTTTTAAACCAGAACAAAAGAGAAATGGGGACTGATCCAACCAAGGGAGGCTAACAGTTACAATATGAACGTTAGCATGTGTGCGTGGTACTGTGTGAGTATGAGAGTGTGCGTGCGGGTTAGCATACATGTGGTTCAAGCGTCTGTGTGTGTCGGCATGTTAATTGTGGCATATGAATGCTAGCATGGTTCTTGGGATGTGTATGGTCTGAGTGTTAGAGGATGTTTGGGTTGTTAGCATGTTTGGTCACATATCTAAGTAAGTGACAAAGCATAAAACAGTGTGCGTATGTGTGTATGAATGTTAGCATGTGAGCTCAAAAGTGTTGACATGTGCTGACTGAGTCTCAGCCAGTCCTTGTTTAAGCTGAGCTAACAGTGTACGTCTAGTCTTTATGCCGATAATAATTATACTTCCTGTTAGTGGACACTTGCTGCTGATAGGCTCACTGGAGTTTGTCTGATTTGGCGTTATCTCCTAACAAATGGACCGTATGGATGACAGGAAATGATGTACATACTATCAAAATAAAAGGTTGAAAGGGACAAATTAAAAAACAGCAGCTAATTTACCACAGGAAATGACCTCTGAGAGTTTCTCAACAAAATAAAACAAGTGCCTTGTGCTGACCTTAACAAAAGGCTTTTATTTTGAAAAGATTTAAGTTTTTGATGCTAAAAGGTGACATGTTAACGTCTTGGACACAAATAAAACAAATATCTCCTCAGTTGGGTTTCGTTACATGTCCCTGAACTCGTCAGCAGATTCTGGTCACGTGACTCTTCATCATCAGGTGACAATGATCAATCAGCAACTGATCAATACCAGGTCAGTGGTCAACAAGGTTGTTTATCAGAGCGGGCTGTCAATCAGTCACTGACCGCACTGTGAAGAACTGACACTGTTAAAGCCTCACACTGTACTGTGTGTGTGTGTGTGTGTGTGTGTCTCTGTGGATTCACTGGATCATAGTTCAGACCCTGAATCTACAGCAACTGGACTGTAGTTCACCTGTCAACCACCAGGTGTTTTTACAGCATGGCTAACATTTAACACTTCTGTTGGTTTACTGTGAAAAGTCTCACACTGGTGTCAGCAGTTTGTTCCAGCGTGAATTGGTGACACATCTACAGCGCTTGAGTCTTGACAGTGGAGTGGAGTGGAGGCCTTGGAATGCAGTGTTTCTAAATGTCCTGCAGAGGGCGTAGTGCTGTGTAGACACAGCGGAGGGGGGCAGTGTGGGGCAGCTCGGGGCTGTTTTTTCACTGGAGGATCAGACTGTATTATTCTGCTGCAGACTCAAAGAGCGACGACACAAAGGAGACGCAGCTCCGACGTTTCCTGGGATTCACTCGCTCCTTCTCTCTCCCTCTCTCACCCCTTCCTCTGTCCATCATGGCTCCACTCTTCTGTCACCTCGTCACAGGTGAGACTCTTTATTACTAATGTTTGAAGCTGTGCTTTCACTGATCATAATTTGACATATTATTAATGTTGTTAGTGTTGTTGTTATCACTAGTGTTGTTATCATTATTACTGAGATCGTTCCAAATGAAACAGTTTAACAAACACATATAAAGATGACCAGATCCAATCAAACCAATACCCCCAACCCCTCTCTACCAAACCTGATAGAGAAAACCAGTGATTTTACACTCAGCAGCTGTTGATCCACTGCTGCTCCATCACTGAGGTCTAATGAGTTCCTCTGTGACTTTACTGTTTGAAATCCTTTGGGGGTCCTCACCCAGGACGGGCAGGTGGACAGTAGCAAAACTCTAGCAAAAATCTACAACTTTTTCTTTCAGTTCTAGTTTTCAGTACAGATGATACAGATGAGGCAGGAGCATGGAGCTTTTCCGTCCTTGACCATGCAGCTGCCCAACCAGGCGCTGATGCTCCCGGTGAACACTGACTCTATAATCGAGGTATCGAAGCACTGTAGTAGCGTTGAGGAGATGTTGAACTTCCTCAGCCGTCTGAACCAAGGTGGTGATGTGAAATGTCCATGTCAGGTCCTCAGTGATGTGGACACCATAAATCCTTAGAGTGTGAGTGTGATGGCTCCCTATATATCACCAGGGGTTTTCCTGATGATATATACAGTATGTGCCGTGGCTCAAAAAAGGTTGGGAAACTCTGCCTTAGTGATACAAACTGGCCACAAGAGGCAGCAGTGGACCAGTAGCTTTTGAGTCTCTAAAATTTTCTTTCTCTGCACTTTGGTCTGTGAGTGATTCACAGTCTCCTTCATCACCATTCTTCTGTGTGTGTAGGTGTGTGTTGTGTGTTAGCTGACCTGGAAATGTGCTAACTGTTAGACAGACCTTCCCAGCAGGAAGTTAAAGTTCTGTGGCCCATTTCTCTCAGGTGGAACCAGAACTTCTGTTGTCATTTCAGGTCCAGGACTGAACTTATTTACAACAACTAACCTTTTGTTTACATTTTTATATGCACACTGACATAAAGTGACCACTGGAGGGAGCAGTCGAAGGCTGAGAACCTTGTGGGCTTCTGTGGAGACTAGAACCTGAACCAATGTTCAACGTTGGTCTCCTCTCTTTCAGCTACACTGATGATGTCATCATGGTGTGTTCAGGCTCTCCGGGTCACCATGGTTCCTCCCAGACCCTGGTTCAGACTTGGAGAACGTCAGCAGCTGCTCTGCTTAGCCCAGGACTGTCCTTCCATGCCGAACTTCTCTTGGTCTCTGCTGGAGGACCGGCCTTTCACTGCCTCCATCCAGACCAACGGAACCAGATCTTTGGTGGTCTTTGATCCTGTACTGATGGAGCATGAGGGGGCGCTGTTGTGCAAAGTCAGCTGTTTAGCAGAGAAGAAGCAGATCTTCGCTGACGTCCGTGTTTACGGTGAGTCCAGAGGCAAAATGTTTTCCAAAGACTACACAGAACCCTGGTTCTAAAGTTCTCCTCCTGTTCCAGCTCCTCCATCAGCTCCTGAGATGACAGGTCTAGATCAGCTGAGGCTGGGGTTGGAGTCCACTCTGACTTGCCAGGTATCTAACGTCTACCCTGCTGCACTGCTGAAACTCAGCTGGTCCACCCCC